TGATCTACGCCCGGATTCCCTTCCTTGCTGAAGATGAATTCCAGATGTTCCGAAAGATCGCCACCGAAGAGGTTTACATCCCTAAACGTCGCTTGATGCCCGTTCACCCTTCTACTTCACCTGCTGCTACATCCCTTTACAAGCGACAAAACACACATCCCTACCGTGACGACAATGATCTGGTTTATGAGGAAGTTGATAACCTCGTTGTTGATCTCCTGCGGCAGATGCTTACCAAGAACCCGGAAAAGCGCATCCGACTAAGAGATATTAAGCGACACCCATGGGTCGTCCAGGACATTGCGAATCCCATCGGCTGGCTTGATGACACCGACCCTGCCCGACCTTCATCTGGCCGCAAGATTCAAGTTGACGAAAGGGAGATGTCTTCCGCCGTTGTTCCTCTCACCTTTTTGGAGCGTGCTCGCTCAGTGGTTAAGAAAGCTGTGGGCAAGGTAATGCACCCCCTCGTGGAACGAAGCGATAGCAAAACGCGACGTCGAGCCGACAGTAGTGCCGCTAGCTCCGCCGGTGACAGTGTCAGTATGTGCAACAATGGTCCGCCAACTCCCCAGCAGCAATACCGTGACCACCGACGCAAGAGCCTCCGCCCGGATGATTATTTTGCGAATGCGATGCGTGATGCCTCTGCACCAGAACATCCTCTTGCTGTCAGTACCACCGTCAGCCCCCAGCCTGAATCTGTCATCTACGATCCTTTGGCAACCGTACTCCCCGAGGCTGGTGTTTCTCGTGGCCATGTCCATGCTCATAGTGAGAGTGAGTCTTACCGTGAACCTGAAAAGTCTATATCGGCAGCCTCCTTATGGCCATTTCATCGCCATGCACACAGCCAAGGGTATGCCAAGACTACATATCACTTCCTACACTTTGGCCCTACTGTACCTATTTCTCAAACTACACCTACAACCCCGAGCTTCGCCAGTTATGCCGATTCACAAGAAGACTCAGGAGCCGAGACCATTCGTAAGACTCGTGACATAGACCCTATGGACTCGATGGATGAAAGCTCTCGATCGAAATCTGTCGATCGTGGGCTTTTTTCTAGTTCCGACAAGCGGGCCGAGGCTAGAGTGGGTGTGAACACCACAGTCGCCCCTGGCAATGTTCAAATACCCCATCGTCATGGACGACAGCCTGTCAAGTCTGTTGATCTGGGCAAGATTTCGCATCAAAGACGACTTGAGGCATCTCTACTCTCTTCATCACTAGCCGCCGCAACTGCTGGACATCGGCATAGCCATTCAGATACGACTTATGCTACTGACGCCCATACGGTTACCAAGACGAGACCTCGATCTCTTCAGAGAATGGATAGCGCTCCCATTACCAGAACATCGCCTTCCCGTCATTCAGAGGATCTTTGCATGCGAAGATGCGATCGACCCCATTCAGAACACATCAGCTTCTCATGCCCACCCTCGCCCATTGAAGAGGAATGGGACCGAGATGAGCCTCTTCCTCGTGCCGAAACTATGCCCACCACCAAGTCTTCAAGCATAGATTCCATGGAAGCTTTGGCCACCCCTTCAACTAGCCCAAGCGAAGTCACCAGCCCCGTCTCAGCGCTCCCTTCAAACGCCAGCACGTCGGAGCGAATGCTGGCATTCCAATCCGACCCCTCTTTGCCAGCTCTGCTCAGCGGCGCTAGTTCTGTCTCGGCCGATATGGAGGCAGAACTTCTCTGTAGGCCAGGCATCGTCAGCGCTCATCCCCAATTACTCGAGACTACTGATAGCTTAACACCACCGGCGTTTGACAAGGAGCCCAATGGCTTTCCTATCAATCATATCTATGGTAACCACTCTGCCATGGAAAGCGGTTCTCTTGCCGTACATCTTGAGGGCGGTGCTCGAGACTCTATCACAAGCACCCCTGTCGCCCGGCCTGTAGATGATGAGTTCGATGACGATGACGGAAGTGATGATGACGGGATACTTTTGATGGCTTCAAAGAAGAAGCCAGTACAAAGCACATCGCGACCTCCAGCATGCTATCCTCCAAAGAGACGCGATACCAACATTAGCATCGCAAGCACCGAAACTGCCAAGAAGGTGCCGACCTCTACATATGGTGACGAGGGGACGTCGCCCTATGAACCATGATACCCCTTCCCCGTTTCGTGGCAACATTTATCATGTTCTTTTTATTTCTCTTATCACATACTTTCAGATGCCAAACGTGCATCGAGTCTTTTTGTCATGGGTTGAGTTGCATTATCAACTGTCTGGAGATGTATTTTCAAGCATTAGGTCGCTGTTATATATACGGGGCCTAGGATTACATTTGGTGTTTTTCTTATTGTTAGACCGTTGTTCAGTCCCAAAGAGGGATTTCTACTGCATTGCTGTTTATAGCATACCATGGGTGGCACAATTGCTGAACATTTTCCACCGCGTTGTTTTTCTTGGGATGGGAGATTGCTTCTGGGTGGGATGAGTGTTGACGGATGGACGTACGGATGAGGAAATGAGCATAATGATGGGTTATGAGATGGAATGACCGGAGATGATATAAGATGAAGGTATATTCGATCGAGGCAGAGATCCAGAACGTTTGAGTGTTGCTGGAAGCCAGTCCTGTACACGGGCACATTGTTTACATATCGGAGGATGAAGGAGCAGGAGCACAGAGCAGTCTCGTTGTGTTTCTTATGCTGAGCTTACATACCAGCCTGTTGGGGCGAGTCAAATGGCTCTGGTGCATTATATAGATATAAGGGCGAAACAAGTTGCTTCTTTTGTTGGACATATTCTATCTATCGAGGATATGTGTCGAGTGTTGAACACAAGACCGATAATAAACAGCTGCTTGAAACTGCCGAATCTTGCTTGTCACATTGACGATGATATTGTAAATGAAAAATAGTGATGTATTAAAACTAGCAAGTTCAATGGATGTTGGTATTCTAACTTGTAAATCCTGAATCTTATTTGCTCTTTACCCCTAATTAAGCTGCGAATTCTGACGGCACAGCTTGCTTTCCTATACGAACAATAAGTGCTGAAGTTACCAAGCCCAAAAGACATATGCCAAAAATCGCTGCAACATTGACAACGGTTCGCACAGAGGATGAGGCCTTCTTAGCAACAATATCGTCCAAAATTTCGTCGAATCGGCTGGCCATCTGTGATCGTCCAAACATATCCTTGACTCGTGCTTCGCTCCTGTCTCCCATGGACTTGATCTGGTCGTCACCAAGTTCCAGTGCAAGACGCACGACCTTAGCCCACTCATCCACGTCGTCCGGTGATCGCAACCATCCTGTTTCACCGTCTACAATCGTCTCGACAGGACCGCCCGAGTTGGCGGCAAGAACAGGCGTTCGGGCGAGCATGGCTTCGAGGGGAACGATGCCGAAATGCTCATTTTTGGGCGTGTAGAGGAGAATGCGTGCGGAACGAAGAAGCGTAGCTTTGAGGGAGTTGGGGATCGACAGGAGGAAGAGGACAGGGACGGATGTGGGTGCAGATAAAGCGGTGATGAGAGTCTTTGTAGTGAGGTGCTCAAGGCCGTGGGAAGAGGCGAGGGCTTCCAGCTCGGCGTGATATTGAACGTTTTCGGAAACTCGAGGATCGTATCCGCCTGTTAAATGGTTAGTATCGCGATAGATAATAAGACTTGTGGATAACAGACCTGCTAAGATGAGGCGGCAGCCCTTGCGCTCAGCTTCGGGAATGGCAGCGAAAGCCTTGATCGCAAGCCCAATATCCTTCTTCCTTTCAAAACGGTTGATACTCAAGATAATCTTCTCCCCCTTGAACGGAATATCTCTATTATTGCCAGCATCTTCCTTTTCCTTGACCCCAGTGTCGACACAAGGATACACCACTTTCGTATCAGTGCGCTTCTTGAGATTCGGCCACGTCTGGTTCACGACACCCTTTGTAAAACCAGAGTTCACTGCCACGGCGCTCGCGAAGCCCATGGTCCATTCTTCAAGCCAATCGAACGGCCGACGATACAGGCGCTTCAGTGCAGACTCGCGACCCTGCGCGAGGAGAAGGTCGGGGAAATGGCAGTAGAAGAGGACCGGGCTGTCGGGGGCGATGTAGCGTAGGAGGGGAAGGCCGGCTGAGAGTTGATCGACAATGAAGGCGCGCGGGTTCAAGGCGTGTAGCTCGCCGGTTAGAGCTATGTGGATGAGGAGGTGGACATGACGGAGGATGGCGCAGAGGATTGTAAGGCGGGAGAGGATGGACATGGGAACGAGCCAGTGGCCACGAACACGGACATCGAGAGTTCCTGTTGATAAGTGTTAATTCGTATAATTAACGTAGATAATCTAACGAGAATGGGGGTATGTACCATCGCGGCATTCATCGAAGCAATGCTTAGGATCGCAGTGGTTCGTAAATATCACTACGCGATGACCTCGCTCCTGAAGACCGACAGCAGCATCTACAACAAGACGCTCTGCACCGCCTATACCAAGATCGGGATGGAAGAAGACGATTGAGCCTTTATCTTTGGCGTCTCGAGCCATGATTGCGCTCTTGCTTGAGAGATTCTGGGTGTCTATTAGGGAGGGTTTGTCTTGGTGGGGGGGTTTTTGGAGTTGAAATGAAAGCTGGAGCTAGCGTGGGGCATAGAAGGAGGAAGGTACGTGGCTGTCATGGGAAGTGGGGCCGATGTATCCTATCATGAGGTACGTACCTTTTTACCCCAGATGGAATCTTTAATTATCAAGTTCACATGTAAGAGATACAATGAATAACAAAGCACATATAATGTTAAAATACACAAATAAGCATCAACATATTTAATCAGTTACATATATCTACTTATCAATGTGATCAATACAGCACTTTACGTCCATCATATGATAGACATCTCATGCCGAGATTCAATGCTAGATCCATGGGCCGGTCTACCCCAACTGAGCCGAGGTCCCCACGTCTCTCTTACTTATACCCATACCGACCACCTTCAATGTCTTTCATCATATTCTCATCTTCATCAATAACTAATCCTCAAAAATGTCTGCCCTCTTCACTCTCCCTATCGCGCAGTGTGGCGCTCACCCTGGCGGTACCCTCACTTGTACTGAGCCCTCACCAAGAGTCTACCTGCTCACCCTCGTATCGCCCCCCGACAACCGTCTCACAACGCCTGTCCTCAATGCCTTTCTCAACGCGCTAGACATAATCGAGTTTGGATACCCTCACGGTGTTGTGGCAACAACATCAGGAATTCAAAAGTTCTACAGCAATGGGCTTGATCTTGAACATGCTGTTGCTACTGAAGGTTTCTGGCATTTGCTGTATAATGTTTGGAACCGCTTCTTGACGTACGTCTCTCAGTCCTATCGCGCCTCTTGATTGACTTACTGACTGTACTAGATACCCCATGCCTACAGTGGCTCTTATGAACGGTCACGCCTTTGCAGGTGGTCTCATGCTCGCCACATCTCAAGACTACCGTTTGGCTCCCTCTCCACGCGGCTTCCTTTGTCTCAACGAGCTTGTCTTCGGTGCTCCTCTCAAGCCCGCCATGTCAGCTCTGTTCCGCGTCAAGTACTCCCACGCAACGTATCGCAGCCTTGTTCTTGAAGCCAAGCGCTTCTCAGGCGAGGATGCTGTGGCAGCCGGTATTGCCGACGATATTGCGCCGCAAGGTGTGGAAGACCTTCTTCGCTTTGTCAAAGAGAAGGAGCTTATTGACAAGAGCAAGTCGGGTGTCTATGGCGTGCTCAAGATGGAGATGTATGCAGGTTTGATTGAGTTCATGAAGGGCCCAGCTATGGAGGCACATGAGAAGAGGTTCGACGACGCGCAGGCGATGGAGGGAGAGAGGAAAGAGTTTGGAAAGGTTTGGTATGAACAGTGGTTGAAGGATGTCAAGGCAAAACTGTAGGACCTTTTTGCATTGTATATACGTAGACAACTGTAAGCATATTTAGACATGAAATATCACCAAAGCAATGCTATAGAACCAGTATGAGTTATGTCAAGCTTTCCGATGGTGTTGTCATTGTTAAATTTTCAATTTTTATATCGTGTTTTCATGACTCTGTTTGATGGGGCCAATTTCTTCAGCCGTCAACCATTGCCGTTTTCTCTACTAATTCCAGATTGTGTTTTCTTCAAGCCACCCCCCCCCCTACATTATCTCTAGTTTACGAGTAAACCCTCCGTATAACAAGTCTGTATATATAAAAACACATCGTAAATCCAAATCCACTTTCCGTACACCTGCCTGCGCCAAACTCGAACGCGGGAAATCTCAATGGGTATAGCAGCCCTGTTTTGTTGCTCCAATGATAAACGCCAAACCCATGCATGTACTATATGGACGCCTTGCAAGTATATCATGATATGGTCTATAGACAATGAGAATAGACATGATGCTCGAGTCAATGATGAACCAGACATTGAAATCAATGACCACCCTGACCCATGTGGGGATGTTGCTGCTCTAATAGACCCAGCACATCCGACGGGAAATAGTCTAACCAGGGACCCATCATATCTGATTGCTGTAGCCCCAACGCAGCAATGTCAATATCCTGGCTATCAAAAGTGATGCCGTCCATGCTCCCCATTGAATTCACCCACGGCATGGTGTATGGGAAGTTATTCTGACCGTGACCGAAGTACATGTGATTGGCTCCTGAGAGTGTAGTGGCTGGAGTCACTCCGTTCTCTGCCATCGCTGTTGGAGGCGAAACGCTATATGCATCAAATCCAGTAGTGGGCTGGCTTGTGGGTGTAAACCTGGGCCCAGCGTAGAAGTCATGACTTTCGCTATCCTCAGGTACACCGTCAAACTGAACATGGGGTCGCGTTTGGGTACTCGTCGCCGAGAGATTTGAAGTCCGACGGGGAACAGTAGGGCGTGACGATTGTCTCACAGCCGAGATGTTAGGCTGGGGGTAACCAGGAGCAAGCAGGTTTGTCGAATCCGGTAGGCTTTGCCGAATAGGGTCAAAGATCATGTTGCCCGGAGGCGTGCTCGGTGCTCGTGCTGGCTGCGACGTATGCTGTCCAGTCTGAGCTGGCGAATCTCGATTTTGATACATGAGTGTCAGACTCGAGTTTGGTGAATTGGCTGTTCCTGCCAGGGTCCACGCTATAGGAGGCCCTGATAACCTTGGTGATGCCTTATTCTCAAATTTAGGGAATGGGTTATTCAATGCCCCGTTGCTGCCTCGACGAGGCGCCTTTGTACTTTCGTACTCTTCCGCTGTGTAGGTTTCACAATCCCAGATTCCTTTAGCTCTTTGATCTAGGGCAGTAATGATATATGTAGCACCGCCCCAGTACATTTCAATCTGTTGTAGTGAATTGAAGCATTTTTGATAATTCTGATTAGCTGCCGAGGCCAGCAGGGAATGCCTCGATGATTTTGCGTCACGAGATTTGTTGCCCGCTGGAACAGTGTGCTGAGCACCAGGAGGAGAGCTGTCTCTTGAAGGTGAGCTGGACGCGTTGGCACTCGACTCCATCACAAAGGCGCAAGCGGCGATGTAAATAGGTTGACAAGTAAAAGGGTTTCCGATGAAACTCTTTGGGTCGATCAGATCTGCAAATGACAAAATGTCGCAGATTGTTTTTGCGCTGCTCATACTGAGCTCACGACTGTCTGGAAGGAGCTGAAGCTCGGTGCGTAGCTCGGCAAATGGCGTGAGGAGAGTCGGCTGGTGAAGGATGATGAAGAGAGCATGGAACCAAAAGTGCAAGAGGATAAATGTGGTGCCTTGGCCTGCTCCCAGATATGCCTTGAAGTTACTGACATTGAACTGCAAACGCCAGTCCCAGTTCTTGTAGAGTCTTGTCAGCTCATGTTCCATCTCGCCGAGCTTGTCCCATGTGTCCTTGGTGAGATCTTTCGCATTGCGGACTTTGTTCAAAACGTCGCAGACACGCCCATAAAGATGGATAATCTGCAGGAAAATAGGATATGGCGCCGGCCAGTTCGTAGCAGGGTCAATAAAGGGTTCCGGGATTGAGAGTTCCAAATCGTCATCTCGGAATGTGACAGGACGACCTGTCCCTGAGGAGATGACACGATCAAGGACAAAGACGGCCCAGAATGTATCCATTCGCTCTTGGACGAGTTCCTTTTGCTCTTGCGGGTTCAAATGACTTGACTCGCCTGTCTTTGCTTCCGAGTCTCCTTCGTCAACAGGCTGGCGTCCCCAGTTCTGGGAGTACAATGCGTCTTTTTCCCCATGATACTGGACACCAACCTCTTTTTGCAGGCCCAAGTCAACTGCCATACGAATAGCCAGGCCAAGGTACATCCAAAGTGCGCTGTCTTGACCTGCCCCGAAACCTTCGTATGCCATCAAAAGACAAGCTTGTACAGCACCGACAGTTGGGCATGGGAAGGTATCAACAGTGGCTTGTCGAGCTCTTTGCGCAAACACTAACCCCCGTTCCATTCTCGGCATCTTGTCATTTCCGTTTGTGAGGGCCGGCGAATCAGAGAATCTTGCTGATAGAGCGCATATCGAGTCGACGAGTATAGGTTCAACCCGCTTTTCCTTGACCATACGCAAGAACTTGGTTTGTCGAAGGAACGGGTAACTGGAACCCATTTGCGTAAAGAAAGTGTTGATGAGACTGATGATCAGGGGGTGAACCGGAGCCGGATCGTTCGGGTCGTAGGTGGGTAACTCCTCGGTGAGCGCCTCGCTAACAACTGAGCTGCTTCCCTGTGGTCCGCTATGTATTGATATGGGCGACGTCCCAGCCATCGAACCAGCCGTTGAGCGCCGGCGATCGCGCACAGAGACCACCATTTGCTTGAATCCAGGAACAATAGCAGTCGGGCCAAAGTATCGGAAGTAGGGAACGCGATGTCGCTCGGATTTGCGCACAGCTGTAGGAGAGGGGGTATTCTGCGCGGGGGCGGACGAGTGATTGTGACTGTTGTGCGAGGGCGCACCTGGTGTTTCTGTCGTGTCGTGTTTTGAATCGATCATGTTTGCGAGCGACATTGTAGTCTCCAAAGCTCCATGGGGAGTGGGTGCGTCGGGTGTGTGCTGGGCGTGCACAGGGACCTTCTCGACTTTGATATCTTCATCGTGGTAGTTATGATGTTCGTGTTCGTCGCGATCGTGACCAGGCCTGTCTAATGGTAGTTTCTCGACGTCTTCTCTTTTTATTTCCTCAGGGTATCCCAGACATCGGTGGCCGTTCTTGGTGCAGGTAGAGCAAACGGGTCGTTCGCCGGCGCACCTCGTCTTGCGCTTCCGACAGGTTAAACACCTGAACCGCAAAGGAGTTAGCACCTCACTATTGGCTTGGGGGTGGTGATTCGAGATCCGCATGCAACACGAGGGTTGTGTTGGCTACTTTCAAGCAGATTGAGGACCTGGAGTCGTGCGACTAGTGCTGTGCCACAGCCAGGGGCAAATCTAGTAGACCGGGAAAACACTTACGCAGCATTTATTCGGCGCCGCTTAGAAGGCGGTTGTCCTTGATTGTGTACGAAGCGAATCGGACGCGGCGGCGGCGGCGGAACCGAGTCCGATGTGTTGGTCTGGGTGCTCATGGCTAAAACATGGTGATGCTTCCTTCAGAGTTGCGGAAGTGGGCGCAGAAGCGGATGGTGAGGTTGAACGTCTACGAGCTTGGCGTAAGGTTGGACAACAGAGATATAAACATGCGAAAGACGATGACGAACGAGCGACAAGCTGACCAGCGGGGTTCGGCGTCTTTCTGGGCCTGCTGCAGACTGTGGCTTGTTTGTGTTGGGCGAATGCTGTATGCAGCAGGTGGCGAGGTAGTTAATGCAACCTCGGGGAATAGGATGCAAGGGATGCTATGCGACAAGAGAGATTGCGATCTTGTCTGGTTCGTAAGCTCGAAGAAAAGGGTTTAGAGGAGGAAAAAAAGGGTTGAAGCGATGATGCGACTACTGAGTTGACGAAAGCGCTAAGGGTAGACTGGAGTGCATCAACGGCCCAGTGGCATATTCAGGATTGGTCGTGTGAAGAGAATCAGGAACATGAAACCAACAGGCGATGAGAAGTGACAGTGACAGTTCCTTGGGCTGAGAGGTAGGCAGGGGTTTCGGATTGGGCTCTCAGGAGAACAGGGAGGGAGAGACAATTGGTGAGAGTCGCAATGTTTGATATGGTGAGAGAGATGACGAAAGGAAGTGAGGAGTTATTAGAGATTACTAAAAGAGAATAGGTTCAGAATTTGGGGGAATGGTACTGTAAAAAGGTTGTGGGTTGAAGTTGACTTCCTTCTGTTAAGCCAAGAAGAAAGTGGACGACGAGCAGGGAGTCACGTCTGGGGATGGAGATGGTGGTGTTTAGACAAGTGGGGTAAGATGCTGCTTATGTGGAGAGGAAGAAGAACTCGAGAGCTCAAATGACCAAAGCTAATAATAAGGGACAATAATTAAGTAGAAGCTATGACAACATACCCTCGAGATATATATCCAGTCTCTAAGGGGCACACATTGATAGGTAACTTTGGACTTGTGTTGTTGTAGGAATAGAGAGAAAAGACGTTACGTGTTATATTAAAGTCAAGAAACCAATGCAAATCAACCAACAGTCAATAAAACCGGGCACAACAAAAGAAGAACGAAACATCGTCACATTTATGATCCATCAAGTGGCAAGATTTGGCCTTGATCTCTCTCCTCTTTTCTCTCTCACTCGCCTTTTTCTACCGATTCATCTCATCCAATCCTCCTCCACCATCAACTGATCCTGTTTACCTTTTTCTATTCTTTCTTTCCCCTTTTCCTTGGCTGTTGAACCCTCCGAGCCCAACCTTATTAGACTAAACAAAGCAAAAGCCGACGTTACGGCCCGCCTGCCGCCTTGTTCAGCCCCCTTATTAGTCTAGTAGTCGGGATTGTCGTAGGTCAAGTGACCGACCGAATTGCAATATCCTTGTCTAGGTACATGATGCTTTTCTGTTTGGCATGATGCATCTCGCACATAAAACACCGAAATGCATGCAGGCTGTCACATAGGCACTTCTAGGTGATGTTTTTGGGCCAATCTGACTTTATCGCGCACCATAGATTTGATGTGAACCTACACATGGTGACAAATACGTCACTGTTTCTAGAAGCATTATGTATCTGATTGTTTCATCTTTAGAGGCTGAAGCGTACCCCACGGCGCTAGACAGTTGTCAGTCCCATGATCCAGACAGCCGCCCTGTAACTAGGTAACTCCAAACCGAATGGATATTGAAAGCCAAGTAAACCGGAGCACCGGGCATTGATATTAGAATGCGGGGGAGCGATTTATAGTGATGACTTACTAATTGACCTTCCATACATCCATTTCAATTGCTCTTCGTCGTATAAGAAAGCTCACCTCAGCTTCATCAACCAGTGGCTCAATGTTGACATCCCATGTCTATGCAGATCATTATGCACCGCCTGCCTCATCACCATTCTAGGAAATGGAGCCTTTGATCTGTCAAATATCAGTGGCGAGTCGTATTGAGATCCACTAAACAAACACTGCGCCAATAGACAAGCTGTCTCAAGATACACGTATATCTGGGTACCTATTCATAAGTAAACACTTAGTATATCAAAAACGTTAACCGTTGAAAATATAAGATACAAAATTAGTAAGTTAATGTATGATACTTAAACTATACTTTAGTCTATTTATTTTTTATCCCTAACACTTATCTAGGACGTCAATAGGTTCTGCTATCCGCTGGGTGCATTCAATATGCATTCATAAACACAACAGCATTATGAGTATCACAGGGGGGTGGAGTCAATTTTAAGCTTTAAAAATTACGTAGAACCATGAAATTCATAAAGACAAGAACCCAACGCTTCATATATACATACAGTTGAAACAGTAACCACGCCCTCAGATAAACCGACCTAAAACCAGTTTGCAAATTACCAACCCCAAGATCAACGCCAGGTAGTGTTCTCAGCCCTCCTAAACAATGTAATTACTTCGCTTCCCATCGCTTTTCAACTCCTTAAATGTTTCCAGTGTATAGTTGCTGAAAGGGTATCGCCAATCCACCACCGTCATTTCAGTCATGCGTCTTCTTCTTCTCGTTACCCGAAAACGATAGTCACACCCATATCTGCACTGACTCTTCGCCAGAGATCACCTCCACTTCTGACACCCATCGTCATTGCCTCCTCTTGTTGTTGCATCATGTCAGTCTTGTCGGCCCGTCTCCAAACTTCTTGAACAATAGTCCATGCACGGTCGATATTTGTCATGCCTTGCCGGCGATTGATGGCGATGAATGTCTGGCGTGCCAAGTCACGGTCAGAAAGTGTAGTGGCCTCGCAAGCCGCAACAAATAATGGCCAGAGAAGGGCGCTCATAGGACCTGTATTGCTGACAGTTCCAACACAATGAGTAAGACTGATGTGCGCGTGACGTTGTACAAGTGGGTGTCGGCGTGGGTAGCTATAAATGGTGCGGTAAAGATAGACGAATGCAGAATGGCGGTAGGACAAGGCGTTACTCAGAATACTTTGGAGTCGGCTCCTTTCAGTCGATTGTTCAGGGCTCAGTTCCTCGGGATTCTGGTTCAGGATCGAGTTTTCAGGGAGCACAGGGTGCCAATCCTCCAGAGCGGCTTCGATGGCTGTTGCCGAGGTTTCAAATTCCGTTCTGAGGACTGCCACCTTGGAAACCTCTTCGTTCGCAACTGCAACGTCAAGCTGGTCTTTCAAGGCTAAAAGGTTAGAGAGCCGGTGAATTATGGGCCATAGAGAAGTTGCCATGCCAAGCAGAGTATCAACACTATTGAGCGGAGATGTCGCACCACCAGAGTCGAGGGGAGGAAATGGTGCCAGGTAGTTGGTGCCTGGAGCACTAGAAAGAGGAGCAGTACCAAAAGACAGCGCTGCGATCACATCATAGAAGCGGAATGCCTATAAATAGTCAGTGATTGCTCGTATAGATTCCAAGAAAAAACTTACACGCTCCAAAAAGACGCCCGTCGGGTCGGTGGCAGTCCCGTTGTTGCTCATGATAGTCATTGCACCCTTGAGATGACCATCGACAATGTTAGACCGACCTTTTTGAACTAACTAATAAAATGTCAGATAAATAGTAATGGGGAAAGTTGTGTTCATCCACTCACCACTTCGTAATACACCAGAAGCATAATGGCAGCCAGTAGTTCATTACGATTTGCGCCTGCTCCCTTCTGAATTAACCGTGCAAGACCTTGGATTGCTTTGTTATGGAAGTAAACACTCTTCTCGGCGTTCTCAACTCCACGGTATTCGAGATGAGCACTTGCGAGAGCATAAACAGCGTTGGAAACAGGCTGACTCTCGTGGCACAGGGGAAGAACGAGTTGCTGGAATGGGTTTCCACTCTCTTCACGGAATACGATAAGATGAGATAGAACGTTGCAGAAATGATCCACAAGGGCGCGTCGGTTGGTGCGCTCAGAGAACTCTGAAAACATCGGGGAGCAGAACTCGAGTCGAGGAGATGGTGTTGGGACGGGCGCAATCATAGCAAGAGAAGGCGAAGGAGTCGCATATGCAGGCGCATACGTCCCAGCATAAGTCGTTGTGGGAATGTTGATGCTGATCGACTCCCGGCGGATGATCTCTTCAACATCCTCCTCCTCCTGGTTCTCAAGATGTTGCACAACGAACTTTGGTTCATCGAATGGCGGCAGCTGAAACTCCACCGAATCAAGAGGAGAAATCAACGGGAGGTCTGTAGGGCTCCAGTCGAAGGAGTTGACTCTAGGTTTGTTTGTAGTCCGGTTGACGAGAGATGTGTTAAGTGTTGGTGCCCCTGTGCTGGGGAGAGCTTCGTCGGAGTCTTCGTCGGCTGATTTGTCGTTCGCATCGTCGTTCCATTCTGATGAGATTTGGGCATCTAAAGCCTGAGCCGCCCTGTCTGAGCCGGAGGAAGAATTGGTATCGAATGGCGAGCAAGGAACAGTCGAGTCACGCTTGCGCCTCTGGCGAGGTCGGACAGGCTCATACATGCACTCCTGGCCACGTTCCAAGCATCGAGCGCATGCAGGTCGGATTTCGTCACACTTCTTTTTCTACGGGAAACGAGTCAGTATGATGCCAGTTTCACGCTTTGAGTGAGCTGTGTACCTTTTCCTTGCTGGAATGGTGTTAGTCAATGTGCTGAGACAGGGATGGGTTGTTTCATAGACTTACCAATAGCTACATCCTGTGCGACAGCGAAACGATATCCAGGTCAGCAAGCCATCCGTAATACAACAGGATAAGTGTAACAGAATGCTTCCAGAATGGAATGGTTTTGACGTACCTGCGCGCGAACGCTTCTTGGGGACCTTCGGGGGTGCAAGTCTAGTATACAGCAACATCGCGACAGCTATATATGGTGGCGAATATAGATGATCAAGGGATCACAACGTTAATCATGCGGTTTCCATCTACCGGGAATAATGCTGATGCTGCATGCGCCTTGAGGATGGTAACAAGGTGGCACGATTGTTGCAGCTGTGTCAGAATCTCAATACAAGAAACTTCTGATATAATATTTGATGTATCGTAGAAAGCAGTTGTCGAACAAGTGAAACAGGATCGATATTGAATAGATGATCTGCGTCGGTGTGGGGGAGGAAGAGGGGAAATAATGTCCACAAGAAGCCGAGGATCTTGGGGAAGAATTGATTGCGGAGGTGAAAGGATCAATAGCGATATTTGATTCAAGTTGGAAAATCACGATAATGGTTGAACAAGAGTCAAGGTCAAGATGGAGGTCAAGAGGGGGGAGACGAGAGAGAAAAGAGCTGGCAAGGGATCAAAAATTGATGCCTCGTGCGTCCCCGGGGCGTCATGGTTCGGTCTATCACTGCCAGCAGCAGAAGGACCTTACCTTACTCCATGCCTTGTCAGTCTAATTCTGTCACTACACACCATCGTGATCTTTGAGCATCCACGACTTTTCCATGGATCCCTGGCCCTTGCCGAGACACTTTCCCAACTCTGGACGTTACCTTTTGTTAGCTTGCGGGGTTACGGGCGCTACAATTGACTTGGATCAGGCTCAGAGAGAGGGATTAGGGATGGCAGATGGGCCCATGGGATGAGTACAGGGGCCCTCGGAATCCATAGCAAAATTTGACTATGGGGAACATGAGAGTCGAAATAAGTTGGGCAATTCGTGTTTGTCATGAACAACTCTTGTGCTTACTGATTCTTTTTAATCCTTACCTACGCTCCAGCGGTGTCTTTGGCAGTTCAAACTCTCCGAAGCAGTACCTAATTTACAGTGGATGAGAAGCCCGGGGGAATAGGAGCCGAAGAATTCCTACTGTGCTCATAGGCCATCTGAACCTCCATCAGACAGTGTCTATACAGTGTGACTCAGACAAGTCGCCCCGCTCCCCCAAGTTAGCAGGTGACCGACTGAGTTTCCTTCACATGGATCTCAAGGACCCTCCTGTCAATCGACGCCACCCAAAATTCACCTTGCAGAGTTCTAGAATCGACGTAGTAGACGAGAAAGGCATCAATGACACCCTCACCATCTACATTCGAGGATTAAACCTCAAACTCCTCGTGTCCCTGCAGCCTCAAACAGGATTCAAAAGGCGGCAAACTCCTGGCCCTGGCATTCTTTTCCCCGGTAAGCTGGAAAATCCGGGGTAATGAGACTGCAATCCAGCACAATTAGGCTTTCAATGACTGCCACTAGGTTTGGATGGTGATGGGCAACTCACTCTGACAGGTGCGGCAAACAGAATACCTGGCTAATTTATTGAGCCATTGCCCGCCGCTCGCGTGCTTTGCCGGACGCCGCAACCCCTTCCCGCTTCAACCATTCAATGGCATGCTTGTATCGGTCAGAGATCTTCGTCCTTTTTGATAATGGAATTGTTCATGGAGATCAGGACAAGGGATCAGCATCCCCGCACCCACGCGTGGTTCGATTGCGGAATAGGAAATGCTGGGTTGACTCCGACCATTCGCCTAAGGAAGCATAAGAGACGAAATTAGTAGGTCAGTTTATGCTATATAGACCATACTCTCATGTCATTTATTTTTGTATCCTAAAGCTCAGAGGCTAATTTTCTGTTACACACTAGGCTTACAGCAATTCGATGGGTCAAATAGAGTTCAGGGACCCTTAACAACGCCTATTGATCGACATGCTCCAAAACTGGGGACAAGTCCAATTTTACAACGGGTTTGGGCGTACCGATCCGACACTACATGTTCGTATCCTGCCGCCGATGGTCTATTTTAATATTAGGTGAAACCGAAGGATGGAGACTTCAACTACTCCAACTATAGCGAGCGGTTGTGAAGCACAAGTCTTCGACCACGAGACCGCAAAAGCTTTGGTCTAGTTTGTGGCACCTGTTGAACCACCGGCATGCGGCTAACGTTGCAGAACCCTTGAGAGACCTAACGGTTCTTGGCAGGCCACAGGCAGGTTACAGCTCCCCTTGAAGCTACAGCTGCACGGAGCCACAGCTGTCGAACATCCATGCAGTATTTGGGAGGTCAACTTCATGATGTGTGGATTAACACCGGAGCTAGGGGAATTTGGCTTTGAACAAGCATTATTGACAAGTGGAGCGATGTCAACACTTGCGCGATCTGGGCTGATCGTTGATAATACTCCTGGTTATTGCCCTCGACGTTGCAACTGTATTAGGCCTCATCTTTGTTCGTCATGACCCAACCAATATGACGGCTTTTTTCTAGTTCTTGGCCAGACGTCTAAGCAAGAAGGGTCTCAGTACACAAAGTATTGACGGGTCTGTCGACGAACTTCCCTGAATGCCGTTTACCCTGGGAGCCGAGGTTCGCAACACCTCGGAAATCTTTCAGATTGACATTAGCTCAAAAATGTACCCACAGTCGAATTTCAATCCGTCTGTCGTCTGCTCCAGCGAGGGGTCAATCTATATTCGGAAGTAGCACCGCTACGATGTCAAGTGAACAACCTCGTGGTAAACCAACCAGGCCAAACGATAAAGTTCCGAATTCAGCCCCATATGATCGTCAAGACAGAGGATTGTAATCTCGAACTATGATCAGTCTATACGGGAACCGAAGCTAACCACAGCCTGACCGTCGAAGGAACGGTCAGATTTGTTGTGATAGGAAAAGGCTCCAGACAGGTGGGTTGGTCAGAGACTGCCAGACCTTTCCATCTCTTGATACGTCCAAGGTCTACGATGCCTTTGTGATATTGTGTATAAATGTTGAGTTTAGTATTCGCCTATTCGGCTTGTTCGCCGGTTCGGTTAGGACCCACATAGCTGAAGTTCTCATCAATTTTATTAACAAGCACAGCCCAAAAGCTTTGTTCTTCGTTGCAAAGGTTGCTAAAGTCTGTCCGGCTCTCCGTCCACGATGTTCTCGGCCCCCAAAACCCCAGTACTTTGGTAACACCATGTGTCTCTCCTGTCGATTATTGACAGGGTTGTCTCGTTCAGCAAAGCTTTCAATTCGTGGCCTTGTCTGTTTGTCAGACGGACACGTCCTTTGAATGGCTGCCACGGGAGCAACCTAATGCACATGGACACACTATTTTGTTCCGAGCAATGCATTCTCCGTTTATATTCGGCCACTGAAAGGCTGGGAAGTCGGTCATCGACCAATGGTACAATGAGGGACACAACAATCAATCGTCTTGGGGATCCAGAAATAGGACAGCTTGGGGGCTTTGCTCTGGTCCCTTGGGCCATTGTCCCCGGCAAATCCAGTCAGATGCGTCGCTGCATGAGCTTCGAGTCGAGGTAGGGCAACAGAGGAAGATGTCATACTCTGGCAGCTCTGTCACCGATCGATATTTTTGAGGCTTTTGACCTATGGCATCGCCGATTTGGTTTCACCTCAAGCTGATTCCTGCATGAGAAAACGAGCCGCGTGTCGTGCCCATTTATGCTTATCCTTAGACGATTGCTCAACATGTCTGTGTTGTTCGTCTTCTCACCGTTTCATTTCTGGGCTCCGTCTCCACGCTGGACCCATGATAATATCCTCAAGAGGAGCTATAATTGTTTAATTCTCACCAACGCAGCGCACTGAGCCTTTCTGCCCAACCAGAACGACCGGTACAGCTGGTTTCAGTGGGCATTTTGCTCAGCCCTACAGACGCCGTTGTCTCGTCTGGCACGATTGCAGCAATTACTGCTCACTCGCGGCGTAGCATCCTCTGACCCTAGCTTAGGACAAGCCTCTAAGGCCTCCGTTGCTGACATTAGGAATCTGTGTTTTCTCTGACTTTGTCCTCCTTTTTTTGCTCTTTTCATATTCACGATACCTTTGTTGGACGCAAAATCGACTTCGACTCGACGACGATCCTAGCTCAAACTGACCTGTGGCGGGTTTACACCAGCAACTATCGATCAACAAATAACCATACATTTGCGACAACTGCCACACCCAAACGTTCAATTTACCCGTTTCGGATTTGGTTTATGATCGGCGCCCCTCGCGACTTTGCGACATTATCTCGGTTCACTGTCGCGTCTCCCCTCGGTTCCATGATCGCACAAGATGAGGAACTGGGGGTGTAGATTATGTGCTGCCTCGCTTCTGAGCGCATTTTGGGCTTTGGGGATCGAGGCAGCCGATTTCAAAAGATACGATGGAGTTCATAGGATTGAGAAGGAATCGCAAATTACGCAAGCCGCAGGGCTTGGTCGACGAGCCGACGAACAATGTGCCACGAGTATGAAATTGTGCCCAGCAAGTCTGAATGGAGGTTGCTGTCCCGAGAATTACGATTGCGCCAAAGAAAGCTGTCAAGCGACAACAAAGGGTCCCTCAACATGTGGAACAAAGATTGGTTGGCATGTTTGCGATCCGGTCTACGGAGGTTCGTATTTGCATGTCCGGCATTTGTAGAGCTAGGCTTACATATGATAGGTGGCTGCTGTCCGGATGGATATTTGTGTGAAACTGCGGATGGTTGTGTTCCGCCATCTGGATCACCGTATACATACGGATGCCCGAGTAGCCAATATCTCTGCCCATCGTCGTTAAGCTACGGATGTTGTCCCAACGGCTTGGCTTGCGGCGTGAATCAGTGTTACCCTTCTGACCCTGTAACCGTCACAAGCACTATGATGATCATAACGACAATACAAGGAGAGCGAACAACTTACAGGACGACGGCCATCGAAGTGAAAACACCAACGGTTCCTACAGCTCTTCCAACAGTCGACGCCGGTGACAATAACGACCAAGCAGTTCTGAAGTACTTCCCTTCAACGATACCTAAAGAGAGCCCGATATCGTCTTCTGATAAGGATAATGACGATAAGGGAGGCCTATCAACCGGCGCACTAGCAGGTATCATTGCTGGTTCTGTGGCCTTTCTGATTATTGTCCTGGTAACAGCCTTTATCATTATTCGCCATCTGAATAAGGTTGTGGCTGCAGTCAGCACCTCAAAGGTATCGGACAGGTCCCGCGGATCCAATACTCAGTCGAGGCCTGCAAGAGAGTTTAAGACGGCGGACTCGGAGGTCGACGAACTGAGCGCCAATCCCTTGATCCATCCATCGTTAATACCCCCACGGCCGAGAAACCCAGGACCTGATTCAGCAGCAACATCGCCATTCGGTCCCGCAAGCACAGACTATAGTTCAAATGAACCTACACCTGGGGCAAACGGATACCACGCAATATCGACAAGTGCCAATACGAGTAGGCATCCCAGCTTCGACGCGATGGGCAATCGTGACGACTATTTCACAGCTGTGGCGGCAGGTGACCAGCAACGAGTCAGCCAGATTTCTAGGTTCACACATTCGACAAGGAACAGGTCGAGTACAGACTCGCACGGAACATATACTCATGTGAGGAATCACAGCAATGCTTCTGAGGGGTCTGATGGTACCCCTGGAGTGATGGCGGGTTCTCAGCCCACAGCAGAGCTTGAGTCAACACCTTATATACCAGAGCTACCGAGCTCCCCATCGTCGGTGGTGTTCCCACGAGACGAGAGACGGCGATCATCCGGTAGTATTCCAAATACCCAGAGTCGACCCCCAGTTGCTCAGCGGAATCCTAGCGGCCCACGCATACGGAGTGATTCACTCGGTCAAAGCAATCTCACCAGCGTTACTGAAGAGATGCATGGATTCTATGGGCCGAGTGAACATCTCGTGGGCCAGACTGATACACACCGGCCGGGAACGAGGGGCTCGCATACCCAGCAGCAAAATCCACCGAAGGAACACCCTGGTCCTGTGACTGAAGAACCATAATATCTTATTTGGTGCGGTCTTTCTCTTAATATCTTTTTTTTTTGTTTGGCGCGGATGGATTTGAGATACACATGGCGTGGCAAGGCGTTCTCTCACGGATGGGATATTTCGCATTGGGTATCTACAAGAGTTTGGGTTTTATCTAAGGGAATATACGAGCATAGGAAATATTGACTATTATACCTTTTTATAATTGCTCTGAGTGTCAGAGGTGCGAAGCTTCATAGTACGAACCAAGGAGGGTCAGATTTATGGGCAGTAGTGGTCAAACTCGGAGTCATTTCTGAGTCAGCTATAGATGAGGCTATTTTGCTCGACCGATACGAACCGGAGGGCTGGTTGAGCATACACACCGGGAATGTTATTGCGGGCTACCATGCGTGTTGGTTGCAATAATGGGGGTGGCGTCCAGGATTTATATTACTTGCAGCTGATTAAATGCGGCTCCTTCTTTGTATGCGTCTCTACCTGTGACTAGATCCTGTTACTAAACTTTAAAACATACTATCATCCTTCATCGCTCGCTAACATGAGTCTACAGTGAATCTTTAGCTTGTTCCCCTGGGTAACTATCGAACTCTTCTTTTTCTATAGAAATAAGACATCTCACACGTGGAATACTGTGGGTGGTGCCCCCTTTCCTGCGTATGTGAAGGCCATTATTAACCTTTGCACACTTGTTGACTGCAACTACATTCGTAGGAGAAACTTAATCCAGAACTTGTGCCAAGAATAACCCACTAAACGTCTCTCTTTTTCATTTCGACGTATCACCACTAACGTATTGACAACCCTAGACTTAGTCCTGTGTTGATAAAGCCAAGGACACCGTATAAGCGCAATGTTTCTAGCATCTACATGTTTAATGCAGAATAGACTAGATTTGCAGACAACATAAACAAAAAGGGGCAATAAGAAGAAAAACTTTGAACATGAATACTACGCAAAGGAAAGAGTTATTTTGTACATATAGCATGTTGTTAAGTTAAACATTGCGCTACTAGCGTTGGTAGCAAGAGGTAGCGAATTTTTAAGTTCAAGTTCCTGGTCCTTTTGTTCTGTTTATTGAGGTTAAAATCGAGCTTGTAGTAGGGTTGTAGAAGTAAGACGTGGTTACCGCTAAACCTTCTTTACTGTCAATTTCTGACTATACCTCGATATCACTAAAGAAGTTCTTAGGGTACCGGAAGAATTAGCCGCTTAAAGCACAAGAGTCGAAATTAGTAGGATAGCCTATACCATTTAGATGAGGCTTCTTAGGCTATTTATTCTTATACTCTGAAGCTTAGAGGTCAACGTTTCTGTTATCCACCAGGAATTATACTTCACTCTGCTTATTGACATAGGTACTTTAGAGCGTATTATTGTTCAACTTAACACCCTGTCTTCTTAATTCTAACTCTTGACTAAAATATACTGACATGTTAAAAGCTTGATGGAATTCTTCTCCAACATGAGAAAAGTTAGACAAGATGGGTATAAATATATTGCATGGTAACTACTTGTGTCTGTTTCTTGGTAAGAACAGTCCTCTTCAAAGAACCGGTTTTATATCCAATAAGACTCGGCCTATAGGGTTCGTCCTGTATCAAGATGGGTCAGCTACAGAGTCTTGTTTGCCGGATTCTGTTCAAGTTTCGGTCGTCACCATCAACCCACCCTCCACATGAGAAACAGAAGCCGGACTGTTTTCTTCTCAGCCTCCCTATCGAGATGTTGGGGTTGATCAACGAACACCTTCCTTACAGCGGCCGAGTATGTATCCGATTAACATGCTCAGCCATGTACAACTCGCTCAAACGCCCACCAAAGTCCCCTTGTCGCTACACACGACTTGAGTGTCTTGCTCTGATTTGTCGAGACCTACCTGACTGCTGGCAGGCTGAAACAAGGCCGTATATCAGGGATGTACGGGAAAGCGATATGCCCAATCGACCGATATGTCGTCCAGTCTTTGGAGGTCCACCTTGGTTTTCAGAGGTGGTATTCTCGTTTCAGCACGGTGCCTTGATGGTCGAGCACAAGCACGTTCAGCTTGCCACCAAATACAGCCAGCTCGAAATGAATACCTGCCAGCAAGCAAGGTATCTCAAGCTCCTGTTGAAACCGTACACGACTGTGTTCAAACCTGACTACACGCCTGGTCCTCTGTATGAAGCCACGGAGTTATGCTGCTTCTTGTGGTATCCCAAGATCGTCTCTGGTAGGTATCTAACCTTTAGCCAGCGGAGTTTCACAAACAACTGTGACAATAAGCCAGTGGAACTGGGTAACCTTGGATGCTTCGGGGCATGTATGCATCAAGTCACAGACCCAGAGCAATATGAACATTTTCTAGTACGCCAGAGACGGGCTATGTGGGAGCGGCCCATGGAAGATCAGACACATTCTAACCATGAACCGAAGCAGCTGATGGGGTGGCATCCCGAGTGCAGCGATCCTTTCTATGAATGCCTACAAAATGCATACTATATGCATGGAATTTGGTTCGATGGAATGTGTCCTTGGTGTCTTACTGAGTTTTCAGTGTGTATAGAAAAATCAGGAGACCTGGTTATAAACACACGGAGAGATTTGGGGGATGCTGATACACCTTTGGATGACTGGTGGGACCATGCTGACTATTTCACGCATGCAAGAAACGATACCGGACGGAATCCCTGGGTAATTCGAGCTCGCTACGGGGTTGTTAATGGGAGATGGTCAGTTTTCTAGTTACCTATTGTATTGTTTTCGAGGTTGAAGAGATATGTGTTTATTAGGCCAACTCATTATCTTCTAAGCTTTGGGTATAAAAATAAATGGCTTAAGAAGTCTGGCCTGAATAGCATAAAATAGTCTACTAATTCCATCTCTTATGCTTCTACCAGCTAATTCTTCTGACGCTCTAAGGACTTGGAGAAGATATATTATTGTGGTTATCACACAGCATTTGCAGTGTATATGCGTCGCAATCTTACCTTGTTAAAGGAAATACCGAAAAACCAAGTTTGTAAGCCACTTTGGTCATTATGCACCGGATATAGAGACACAAGGTTTCACTTGTACCTTTTCTCATCGTCGAGGAATGCGGTTGTTGTAAGTGAAACAGACCTCGATTGACCCAACGGGCCGTTTCCTGGGAGAAGAGCTACCCTAAAGTACCTACGAGTACTTAGCGGTGAAGGGAATAGCAGAGTGAATAACATGTTATGATATTTGAACAGAATCATGGTTGAATGAATGGCCTGGTGTGATAGAACTGCATAAGAAATAGCATTGGTTGATGGTTGCTGGGCATCTTTTAACGCTGGATTTAAAGTGACCAAGATCGACCAATTGGATGACATCACCCAAATAGTTACACATATGAGAAGTTGAGATCACTACAGGATAGTGAATCCTAACGTACCCAAGAACTATCAATTCACCAACTGCTGAATAGAAGAGCTAGACAACACTGAAATATATATTCAAATAGTCTCAGACAGTTCATTATCACTCTCTATCTTGTTCCGTTTGCGAATATACGTCCTTGTCGGAGACTAACGTTTGGGGATCGTCAGGTCAGAAAGAGTCGTCGACCCAGCAACAAATGTAAACAATGGCCGGGGTCAGTCCCAACGTCCTCGACCAACCATCCGCTGCCACACAACCCATGCGTCTGGGGAATCGATACCTTAATTATCTGCACCATTCCAGGAAGATCCCTCGATCTCTTTCTCTTTCTTGCTTCCGTACCCATTTCCTTTTTTCTTAAATCTAAATCCTCCCGTGTGTGTGTCACTACAATCCTCGACACACATACACAGACCACTGACCGCTTTCCCCTTCATCGTCAGATGCCCCGTCGCAACACTATCAGGGCCGACGACCTCGACTTTGAGATCCACGTTGATCCATCGTGCTTAAGCGATCCTATGGACGATAACGAAAACAAGGCCCCCGAGGAGCCAAAGGTGCAGATCGAAACCACTACCAACCAAGAGTCCGAGTCCCCCAACACCCACATTGATAAAGAAGACCACCACCACTCGACGGCTGAAGCCAAGGTCGATTCTACGGCTGAAGCTACCGAAGAGGATAAATCTACCATAACAGAACAAGACACCGAAGAATCAGCTATACCAGAGGCTGAATTAAAGGCTGAACCAGCTTCAGAATCCGAACAAGAATCATCCGACTCGGAATCTGAAGTTGAATCTGACCAAGAAGCCGAACCTCAAGTCAACTTAGAAAAAGACACCGAAGAATCAATTCAACAGCCACCAGCAGAGGCAGAAGAACCTGCTTCTGAGGCTGAAATCGACACCCCGGCCCCAGAGCCTTCATTGGACGATACAGAAGATAAGGACGACGAGGAACCTACCCCTGTCGAAGACGTCACTGCCGCTGAGGACACTACTACCGAAGCTCCAATTGAGGACACCTCTTCGGCAGATACTTCCACCGAGGATATTTCTGTCCAAGACGTTGCCGCTGAGGATCTTGACGACGACGAGCTTGTCGAGGAAGACAACGATAAGTCTACCGTTGAGGTAGAAGAATCTGTCGAGGATAACGAAGAGCGACACTTTTCTGAGACAGAATCAGAAATCTCTGGCTCGAGACGTGTGTCTTCTGGTTCTTCCGGATCCAGTTACTCTGATCGTCTATCCACTCGCTCTGAAGCTATTCAGGAAGTCGCCCGCGATATCGCCTCTCAGATCGACAACCACGAGAAGAGGGACTCTTTGAACAACTACTCTGAAGTAGACGACGATAGTTATATCTCTCACACCAAAACTATCAGTGCTCGTCAATCCGACGCCAACATGGCTCGCTCAGTCAAAAGCGGTGTAGACGAGGCTGGCGAGAACAGCTCCCATCACGAGCACGAAGACGATGTTTTTAGCGACCGAAGTCCTCGAAGCTCAGTGGGTTCCGTATCCGAAGGTGATCATCGGAAAGCCCAGGATGCCATGCACCGGATGACCAGGTCCCCCCGTGTCTCGGGTATCTCTGGCATCTCTGGCTTCTCTGAGTACGACAGGGAAGATGAAGATTTTATCCCCACTATTCGAGGTAATCCTCGACCCATCTTCCGGTCACCTTCCTCTGTCAAGGCCATGCAAATGTCATCGCCTCCAGGCTCAACGGTCGGCGGCTCTCCTCGCTCTGGTAGAAGGGCACCTCTCCCAAGCTCGTCCAGAATGAGTTCTCCTCGCTTCTCAGAGCAATATTCGCCTAAGAGGACACCGCCTCGCTTCAAGAGATCTACACCGCCACTTGTACTTCTTCATGTCACATTGCTTCCTCTTCGGTGGCCTTGGGGCGAAGTTCTTGAGAACGCAGACCCAGAGGAGCTGAGCAAAGAATGCAAGACAATCAAAGATGCTTGGCGAACACTTCAGAACCGAATGGCAGATACCACCGTTGAGCGTGGTATCCTTCTGCCTCATCCTCAGAACGACTATGAGGTTCTCGAAGAACGGTTACTGGAGGCACTTGAGCTTCCCCTGAGACGCCGTGCTCGCATCCTCGAATGCGGTCATTATCTCGGTCCCTCCAACATGATGACCATCGAGGATTCAGATTCGGAGAGCGATGAGGACGAAGATGAAGATGATGAAGAGGCCGAGAGGCGCAGGGAAAGTCGTCGCCAATCACAACCCACGCATTGGTGCAAGACCTGCAAATCTGACATTCACTATGAGTCTCTGGGCCAGGGCAAGATTTTCCGTGTTAAGGTATACGCTAGCAACGGTTTGATCCGTGGCGGTGCCTGGGAAGCTTGCTGGAAAGAAATGGAGCGAGTTGATGTCGAACTTGAGCCTCTTGTTGATGCAGTATCCCATCATGAGCTTGTGCAATTGGAGGCTGACCAGGAGCGAGACTTGGCTATGAGAGAAGCTGAAGAGGAAGAGAGATACGTCAGGTTGGAAGAGGAGCGCAGGGAGTTTGAATCGAGGGAGCGAGGACGCGTGACTACAAGACGAGGAGACTCCCATGGACCTATCGAGGACCTCAGTATGAATGAGGGAGAGTCACATCTGAACCACGATGAGAGCCATGCCGCCGGCATCAGCAAGGAGGTTGCTGATGAACAGAGTAAATCTTTTGATGACCTCGAGAAGGATATCGATGAGCATCTCCAAGAAGAACGCGAGAGGAGTCTTGCCGAAGAAGCATCAACTGGTGCGCCTTCGCCCGACGCTTCTCGTGTCGATGAAGCAGAGTACCAAAGGAAGACTTCTCCTGGTTCCCAAAAACACCATGGAGATGCCCAGCGTTCTTTTGAGTCACAATCCCAGCAGCATAGTTCCCCTGATGACCGCCAAAAGGCAATGAAGAACGCTACTCTCCCACAGCTCTTGGCTGAGTCGGCTCGTGTCGCGATGCAAGATAAGAAAAACATCTTGATCGGCTTACTTAGCATTCTTATTTTACTCCTCGCTATCCGCGGAGGTCCTGGAGCCCGACAAAGCCCCGACACCTTTGAGTTTATCAGGAATGCGGAGGTCCCTACTGTCACAGTAACACAAGCCATGGAGTTGGAGACTGTTAACCCCGTCGAGGATGTCACTGCTTCTGTAGCTGCTGCCGTTGAGGAGGATAGCAGCGTCCAATCTGATATTCCTCAGGAGAGCGTCATTGTTGAGGACACCCCTGCTATTGAGGAAGACAAGGATGGTGCCGATGAGAAGGAGGAGGAGGCAGTCCCTGTTGTCGACAGCTTTGCCCCTGGCGCCGTTGGCGATGCTATCCCTCCACTTGAGGCGCCTTCCTGTTCGGAGCGCATTGTACGTATCGTGGAGACGGTCACTGCTGTCGAGACGGCGACTGTCTATGCTTCTGAGATGCCTTCTATGGAGGCACAGGCTGCGGAGGTTGTCAATGATGAAATCAACGATGAAGTTATTGACGAGGAACAAGCCCAGGAGAGTATGGTAGTCGAAGCTGAGGGTGTTTCCGATGACTCTGAGGCTTCCGATGAACAGGAGTCCATAGAAGAGGCACCTTCTTCCGAGGAGACTACTATTGTTTCTGAAGAAGCTGACAATGTCGAGGAAGTCGAGGAAGAGCAGGAAGCTCATGAGACTGTGTCGCCTACTGATGAGTCTTTAAGGGACATCGAGGAAAAGATGTCTCTTGTGACTGCCGCCCCAAAGGGTTCGTTTTTTGACGAGGAAGCCCCTGAACAGACAGCGGCTTCATTGGAAGAGGAGGATAGCGACGACGAGGAGCTCTGAGAAATTTGCAAGCGATGCCACGTTTTACATGCCTTGATGTAAGTTGTTACGAAGGATATACCTAGAACGCATTCTTTTTGATGAAAATGGCGGGTATTCATGTGGTTCTGTTACGATGATTGATAGTTTGAATGATACATGAAGGGTACATAATCAGAGACCTGTTATTAGCGACTAGTCGAAATGTTGAGAATAGAATCGTTATGCTTATACCACCCAAAAACTGTAATTTGTTTGTGAAGTATCTGTTATTATGTATAAAGAACGCCTACCAAGACCCGGTCTAAGTGATCAAGATGATGCGTGTCCATAAAATGTACGTCTCATTAGGGCCACAGTATTGACTCCTTTACCCGATATCAAAAGGGGCGTCCCTTATAGCCGAATATAGATATCCATACAATCAATCCTCCACTCCCTCTTGCCCAGGAGATTCCTGAGCCATTCGATCCCCAGCCCGGACCACTCGGCCCTCCTCGCTTCGAGATCCTCGCTAGCAGATTTCACGATTGCCGCGATAGTGGTGTTGACCATTTCGAAAGCAGTCGAGTTAAAGGTGGCCTCGGCAATCTCGTCAGACGGTATCTGGGTCGGAGTTACGGGGCGAGGTAGGAACCAGTTGCTACTAAAGTCGAAGAAACATCGGTCGGACCAGTTGCACGAGGTCAGGAAGAGGATAAGCAGTAGGATCGAGCAGTAGACGCAGGGTCGGTTGAGGAAGTAGGTGCAGATGAAGAAGAGGAATATGAAGGCGGGAGAAGCGTTTGTCGGGATAAAGAGTAACGGAAGCCAACTGTTGGCGAAAATATAAGCGTTGGTCTTTTGTTAAGTGTAGATCTGGTTGGTGGTGTTTACCTGCGAAGACAAAACATGTTGGGGAGATGGACTTATGCGCCGTGCATGTAACCAAGGTGTCGAGATTATTGAACGGTATACGTATGTTATATAAGTAGAGTCGTTTACTTGATGTCTCTCCGTTGAAGATGTTGTTACTGCCGTCTGCTGCGCGCGGGCGCAGAATGGGAGTGATTGGTTTTTGAAGATGGAGAGACCTGGACTCGGTCGGAGGACATGGAAGTTTGGTGGTGGCGGTTTGGAGGAGGTGTTACGTCGTTTTAGCAGGGTGAGGAGATATGGGGGAAGGAATAAATTGGGTTTAGTCTCGGTTGAGTTAGTGCGTTGAGGCTCTGGGGGAGGTTTTAGTTAGTGCTGTCAATATAAGAAATAAAGGTTGCGGTATTGGCTGGACGTTTTTATTTTTTATTTTTGGATCTTCTCATTGCTAATTCTAATCGGCTTTAGGGCAGCTTATCCGTTGAATTTGTTGGTATCAGGTGTGTATTACTAGAAGTTGCATGTTGAATCTAGCCATATTTGTTACTCTCAATATGGCCTGAACAACAATGAACCTGACAACAGCCGTACTTGAGATCAAAGAAGTGGCTAGTACATGTCTCTACTGTTGAGACATGATCATGCAAGTTTGCAAGTAAACATGACTGAGACTGGTGGTTCACAAGTTGGGCACGGTTCATATCAATGTTTTACTGGGATGGCCTGAACTAGGCGCGGTAGGTAAGCGATACTGAACCAGGATTGACAAGCATGGCAGTTAAAGATAACTAGGTTAAGGATGTAGCAAGTTCTATCGGTCGATCAAAGACAAAGAGATTGGTCGATTGGTCGATTGGTCTCAGAATTTCTTCAACAAAGGCCCGGCGGCAAGTCAAGCAGTTTGCCATTTGGCCTGCAGTTTGGCTGCATGTGTTTAGGTATGCACTGCACTAGTCAGGAGTTTGTCTCTTCTTTTTCAGGCTCGAATACTGTCTCTTGTTTGATTAGACTGTGTGAGTCACCAATAATGAAACCAAATGTGTGCTGCGATCTGTAACTATTGCCTGTCCAATAGAGCTGTAAGAGGCGGTGACTTTTGACAGCTGGCAGTCTGGGCGCTAAACGATACTGTTATGTACAAGTCTTGGCCGGTCTGGTTTCCCCAGCTTTAGACATCAGTCACTTTGTGTTATTTGGTTGCCGTTGCAAGAACAGATTGATGTTGTTGACGAGAAGAATGTTAATCTGAATTTCTTTATTTGTGAAATGGTTCTTTTGACGAGGTACACATGGTCAAAGAAACTCGACATTCAAAGGTACAAGCAACACATAGACACACACAAAAATATAATCAACCAGCCCGAATCAACCACGTCACTCGATCCTTGTACCTTAGCTCCCTCCCTCCTGTGCGTTACCTTCCATACCTTGCAATCGGGGAATAGTGAGGTGGAAACATCCTCCCTCTTTCCCGTCCATATCACCTTGTCAGTTGGTACCCGTGTTTTACTCAAGCTCTTGAGATGGATGCTACAGCATCAGCCAGTGCTCATCTGGAGAAAGCTCGCTTCAGCAATCCCCAAACACTAGCATCAGTCAATGCACGGATGATTCCACTTGCTCGTTACTTACTATTCATCATCGCCTTTGCTTCCGTTACCCGCTAGTTAGCTTTAATTTGCTGGAGTTGGAGCTAAGAAAGGTACCACACCCTACTACAGGTACCTAACCTTGGGTCCTTTAAAGGTTGCCAATTCTGTGCCAGTGCCGGCCAAGTGCAAGTGCCACTTACCAGCCATTTTACAGAAGGTACCTTGCCTTTTCACCGTCATCATCATCCATTCGCGACTTTTTGTTTTTTTTTTTCCCTCTCCCTCTCTCAGGTTCACCACCTTACCCTTCGCCTCATCCTTGAAGACGAGAGTCAAAGAGCAAAAAAATAAAAATAGAATCGCATCTGTTTTTCTCGTACAATTCTATCATCCTCTTCTCGTTTCCTATTCTTCTTCATCATTTCCATCTCATTTCATCCTTTCTTGGCGTTCTTCCGGAATCTGATCGGCCCGTTTGCTTTGCTTTCGTTCCGCCTCCGCTTCCCTTTCGCCGCATTTCCCCTTCGTCTCTGAATCACTTTCAGATTCAAACCAAACCCCAAATCTAAGCGGGAGCTCTTTTCGAGTCCGCAACCGCAACCTCCCTCCTTCCTAGGCTGTTGTCATGGATAATCTCGACATGCCTGCGGCTCCCACGCCGCCAGCCAACGCCAATGCGAGCAATCCTGATCGCACTGCTAACCTGCTGAACCTTCTCAAGTTCAGTGGCTCAGGCGGCTCCCAGCTGCAGAGCCAGGCTACCCAAGCTCGCGCTCATGGCCACAACCCGCAACAGCAGCAGCAGCAGCAGCCGGTCCAGCCAGTGCAGCAGCCTCAGGAATTGCAGCATCAGGAGCATTCTCAGCAACGTCACCAGCAGATGTCGCCTGACCCTCAGATGCATCAGTTTAATCAGTTCCAGCAGCATGCCCAGCAGGGTCGCGGAATAATCCAGAGCCCTTTGCCCGCTCAGATTCACCAGCCCTCGCCTTCCTCCGCTGATCCTACTGGCCTCTTGGCTGCTCTTATGCGTGGCGCCCATGAGCCTGAGGAGCAAAAGCAGCAGCAGCAGCAGGCCCACCCGCAGCAACCTTTTGGCAACGGCTCGCCTCCTGCTGACACTCGTTCCTACCTGCTGAACCTCCTCAACCGCCCCAAACCTAGCCAAGGTGACCACCAGCATTCGGTTTTGAGCGAGGCTTCACGTTCGACGAACCTTACGCCTCAATCTCCCGGAAATGCTCCCGCTGAAACCGCCCGCTACTCGGGCGTTTTTCAGCAGCAGTACGGCCAGCACCAGCACTCGCACAGCGGCCAATTTTCCAACCTCCAGCACCGCCAGTCCGATTCCTACGCCGGCTCCCATGCCCCTTCCAACGCTTCCGACTCTTACTATCCCTCTCAGGACAACCAGGCTGATGCATCAGCTCTTTTCCAGCAGCTGCTGGGAAACCTTGCTCAGTCTTCTCCTCAGAGCCAGAGTCACGGTCACGCCGCGCAGTCGCCTAGTGCCCTGCCTTTCCAGATTCTCAAAAAGGACTCGCCCGCTGCTTCGCATCATTCACACCACTCTCATCACTCCCACCGTCCCGACCATTCCGTCGGCGCTGGTAGTGAGCGAGCTGCTTTCCAAACGTCTCCTCACCAGATCCGTCGCAAAGCAACCCGAACTGCGTCCATTCAGTCTCACCATTCCGTGAAGCAGGGCACACCCCCCGCTCCCGAATTCGAGAACCATAATTCTGCGGCCAAGGCGACCGTTGCGGAGGCAGTTGAGGACATTGCTGAGCAGGCTGATCACGACGCCACTGAGGCACTTGAGCGCGCTGAGTACGAACGGGCCCAGGCTGAAATTGCCCAGGGTCTGAACGAGATGCGCAAGGCAAAGTCCGAGAAGGAATTCGAAGACGGCGCTCAACATGCCGCTCAGGCTATTCAGGCTGAGCTCGACCGTAGCGACAACGAAGGTGTTCTCGAGGACGCTCTTTCAGCCGAGGTTGCCGAGACCGTTCGTGAGATTGTTGACGAAGCTGCTCAGGGTGTTGCTGATAGCTGGGAGAGCGCCGATCAGGATGAGATTGTCGTGATTGAAGAAAAGGAGACTCCTCCCGTCAAGGTCTTTAACTTCCCAATGAAGCCGTGGATTTCCATTACGCTTCAGGAAGAGGGAACCGACCCGCGACCTCAGTTCCGCGACGAGACCATCATGGATATCGCTCGACTGAAGAAGGAATTCGACCAGATCGATCGCAACCTGTATACTGCCACGGAGAACTACATGGCTTACGGTATGTCCAAGCAGGGAGGTCTCCGTGTCATTCGACAGGAGGATGGTAAGGATGCCAAGATCTTTACCGATACCAAGGACCGAATCTTCAACGTCGCCATGTCTGTCACCCCTACTGATCACGAAGGCGCTCACCGCGAGGCCATTATCGGCACTGGCATCAGCGGCACAGTCTATTGGGTTCAGATTCGCGATGGCGAGAAGGATCACATCGAGGATACCCATATGGAGCAGTACGGCTTTGCTCTGCCTCCCATGAGCTCCCAGGAGGGTGACGCCCCTGGCGGTGTTCTCAAGACCCGCGCTCGCACCTCCACCATTCACCCCGAGTACTTTGCCGTTGGTCGCGGCAAGTCCATCAACCTCATCTGGCCTTCTTACATTTTGCAGAACAACTTGTTCAAGCCAGGCCATGATCGTGTTGTCGACACAGAAACTCTTGCCAAACAATGCTCTTTGAAGATCAACACTGGTAAGGCCGGCAAGGACTTCACCTTCAGTCAGGACGACTCTGTCATCGTCTCTCTTGATAAGTCTGGTCGGGTCAAGTTCTGGGATGTTCGAGACCTGACCGCTGTCAAAGAGGGTTGTGATCCACGTGCTCCAATTCCTGCACAGACCTCGCTCGAGGTTAAGGAGCCTTTGATGACACTTGCCACTACTCCTGAGGGCGAAAAGGCCTGGCCTACTTCGGTCCTGCTTCTCGACAAGCAGCGACCCTACCAGAAGCGATGCGCTCTCCGATACATGATTGTCGGAATGAAGCAGAACCACACTCTGCAGCTTTGGGATCTTGCTCTTGGCAAACCCGTGCAGGAGTTCAACCTACCTCACAGCAAGGAGTCGGACGCCGTCTGCAGTGTCATGTACCACTCCGCCACTGGCATGATTGTCATTGGCCATCCCACACGAAACTCGATCTACTTTGCGCACTTGTCGGCACCTAAGTATAACCTCAAGAGTGTTTCCCAGGCCGAGTACATCCAGCGACTTGTCGCTCAGGACTCCTCCATTCCCCAGCCGGATAGTACCGCTGTCATTAGTGGTGTGCGAGAGTACTCGTTCGCCAACCGGGGTATCCTGCGAAGTCTCGACATTCTTGGCACACCTGCCATGGTCCAAGATGCCGACGAACCCACCCTCTTTGAGTTGTATGCCATGCACTCCAAGGGTGTTGCTTGCCTGCTTGTCAAGCAGACCGAGCTCGGATGGTCCAAGGACAACAAGGTCCTCGACGCGGTTGACGCTGTCGCTCAGAATGTCGTCATTGTCTCGAAGCTCAAGGCTCCCCAGCCTGCCGAGACCCCAACTCCTGCCAGCAACGGAGAACCCGCTGTCCGTATCGTCAACCGCGGATCCAACAAGGAGAACGTACAGGCCACCCCTGGATCGCAGACAGAGTCTGTTCAGCGTGGACCCGAACCGGCTGTCCCAGCCAAGGCAAAGACTGAGCCGAAGGAGGCTGAAACGCCCATCCAGTCCGCCAAGGAGTCCCAGTCTGAGAAGCCGGAGAGAAAGTCACGAAAGAAGAAGAATGCGGCGAACCAGGGTGATGTTGCCACCAACGGCGCTACACCTCGTGCCGGCAATAAGGATGCCAAGGGCGCAAACAACACTACTGCGCCTTCTGTCTCTTCTGAGGCACTGGATGCTGCCATCTCTGGACTCGAGTCTCGTCTGAATGTGAGCGTTGGCGAGACGCTCAAATCATCTTTCAAGAACCTCCATGGCAAGATTGATGACGATATCCGTGTTCGGGACGAGAATTTCAACCAGCACCAACTTAAGCTCCTTGATATGGTTTCGGAGGTGCTGAATGAAAACACTCAAAAGGTCCTAGAGGCTCTCATCCATCACCAATTCACCGAACTCGTCATCCCCGCCATTGGCGACAAGGCGGGTGCCGCTGTCAGCGATCTTCTCGACAACAAGCTGCAACCCCACCTTGCCTCTTGTGTGCAAAAGGAGATTCAGAGTTCCCTTCCCCATGCGCTCAACAGGTCCCTGCGCTCTGGCGATTTTGTCAAGTCCATCTCGGAACGAGTTGGTAACACTGTCACCACAAGCGTCCAGCAGGAAGTTGTCACAATACTGACTCAGCGACTCACTCCTACTTTCACTAACATTGCAACTCAGGCGTCGCAGCGTGTTGCCGGCGAGCTGCACCAGCAATACCATGACCAGTTTGAGTACATGAAGTCCCAGCATGCCGCCGACAGTGCCAAGATCGACCAGCTGACGTCTCACGTCACCCATCTCTCCGGGATTGTTGAGACCATGGCCGCGTCTCAGGCGGCTCTTCACGCGGAATTCCTCAAGTTCAAGCAACAACCTGTCCATGAGCTTTCTGGAATCCCTCAGACTGCTGGCCACGGTCAACCTGTCCCACATCACGGATATGCCACCTCCAGCCAACACCACCCTCAAGCCAGCCTCACCGGCAGCTACCACCCGAGTCAGGCCGCTAGCCAAGCTCAACAGTTCGTTGGCAGCCCCCAATACGCTCGTGGTTCTCAGCATGTGAACAGCCCTCAAGCGTCCCAACAGACTTCAGACTACGTCGCTCCTACTGCGAGTGTTGGTGCCCTTGCTGGTGCCTACGCTAGCCAGCGTAACCAGACTGAGCCTGAAGCAGACCACGACTTGATGCAGCGCATCAGGATTGTTGAGCAGGCTATCCAGGAGGGCCGTTACCAGGATGCCATGATCCAGTGGATTCAGAGTGGTCGCGAGGAGGAGATTTTCCGCCGCTGCCTCAGCCGCTTCCCTCCCAAGAAGTTTGAGAACATGCCTCTCCTGATTCTACTTGTTGTGATTGCCACTATCTCCAAGAACCTGAAGCCAAACGCTCGTCTCAAGGAGGAAGTTGAATGGATCGAAATGGCCCTGAACGCGTTTGCGGAGAGCCTCCCCAACTTTGTAAGTTCAAGTTTACCTACTTACATGGGCGTAACTAATTCATTGCAGGAATGGGACCAATCCGGCGCTCGTGATATAATCAAGAGCACGACTTCGGCCATGCAGCTCCTTATTGGACGCATTCAGCCTCTTATTGGTGGCATCCAAGACGGTTTCCCTACTGATCCCTTCCTCGCCAACCTCGAGAGAGCCAAGCTTGACTGGATTGTGCGAACATCAGAACGTGTGCTTGACATTTGTGGTGCCCCGAGACGCTACGAGTAATCGAACATTATGACAATAAAATCTGGAGGAATTCCTGCTATTCTTGTCTAACGAGACAGACCGTGGAAACATGGCGCTTTGTCGTGAGCTAGAAGATGCGTCCGACAGTGTACACCACGCTGGGAAGATATGATTTCACATGGGAACATTTCAGAACGTTTCACGATTGGTGAAAAAAAAAAAAAAGACATGCATGTGCATTATTAGTAGGTTGATGATGTTTTATGGTGTCGTGGCATGTTTCTCGCGATGCGATTTGGTATCATGTTACTTGCGAAGGCATTGGAGTTGTTTTCACATTTGGGATGCTATGATACCCCGGAGAAGGGGAGGATGGGGATGGAGTGTTTGCGGAGGATACAGAGGAACCAAACAGTTTCTCTTTGACTTAGTTTTTGGTAATTAATGTATGAGTTGCTATGAGATTTGATGTGTGCTGTGCATTACGTCCCAAGATATTCAATCGTCAAGATTTGTGCCCAAAATTCGGTCGGACTGCTATCTACGTCGAGATTGTTTCATGTGAACCTCATCATGACCATCCCCTGGCATGTTCTTGGTTACTTCGGAAGCCACGGATGGTAATGGATACATGTTCTCGGCAGATGAACATCAAAAGTCATGTCAGTCAGACAAGCTTTTTGGCGGCGAGTTATCTCAGCCCTAGAATAAGGGGCATGCTTGGGATTGAAGAAGTGAGGTTTCTCGTGTGACATTGTCTGATATCGAGTGCTCGAGTCTCTCATTCAACTGGGAGTGGTCACTGAAGATGGTACTCTAGTAGATGAGGTGAGCAAATCATACAGTGATAAACACATGTTGTTGATGAAGTAATATATGTGATTGCATGTTAATCGTCTCATGCCATGTCATGAAGATCTCAAACCGAGGCTAAACACCGAGTCTCCAAGGTCTCTACCATGGATCATACCTTGTATCTGGTCTCGCCCGATTTAATAAACCATATTACCGGGTACCCGCGCACTCCGGGAGTCAAACCGGGGATCTTGAATCTTGGTCTCGGAGTCAGATTCAAACCCGAGTCGCCGGATTGCAAGTAATCATCCTCTTTAACACTATGCCAGAATTATATTACCAAGATAATGAATGAGTTCAAAGTGACGGTTATGACTGCCATTGTCCCAACTAGCTACTGGGTTTTTCTTTTTCTTTCCTAAATTTGAACAAATTGATTGGCCTAGAGGCTCGGCCCGGCACCCGCTTCAACCACAATATCGAGAACCTCGAATTTTCAACAATGACCCACAACACAGCATTCTATTAAGTAAAAATAATTATCTCGTAGCCACAGCATAAAACTAGTAGTTGGTTTCGTGGTCTAACGGTTATGACTGCGGATTCTGATTCCGCCAGCGAGGGTTCGACTCCCTCCGAGACCTTTCTTTTGCCAGTTCTTTTGAACAAATAGGTTCTTTTTTGGAGTCTTGGAGAGGTATATGGTTTTGTAGGTGGTTAGTATTTAGTGTTTTGAAGATCAAGTCCTGTAGGAAACCCTATCAGGCTTCAAACTAGATAAATAACTTCAACGGTGGCACAAAAGATTAGTCCATCCAATAGTTTCTCGCCAAGTTCATAACAGTATGTATTTCCATGCTTTGACTGCGGTACATGTAACCCTCCAAGATTAGGCCTCGTCTGATTGCAGTGAATTGTACCGCTGCGGGTTTGATTCGTTGAAAAGCCATGTCGAGGCGAAAACGGTAACGAGCACGAGAGTTAAGCTTATTGCACTTTTCATATCATGACTATTCCATTGGTTTATTAGTTGTGAAGTGACAAGCTGTGCATATATGATATGTCGAGACAGCTGAGGTGAGCTTATGCTAAGAAAATAGACACACAGGGAACACGTACCGATATACTACAAATAGAAACAGATCAACTTCTTTGTCGTGCTACGCTGTATAGCCCAATAGATTAAGATACAGTCCGATGGCCTCAGGAACTAATGCGTAAATACCCTTGAAGTATACCCAATGTTCGCCAAGATTCTTGGTACATATGAAATCTCCTGACATGTACAGAGCATATAATAGACACACGCAAGGTTGTGTGACATTGACAGCCAGCCTTTTTAGTGTCAGAGCGGCTACCTATTCTCCGATGACAAGCTTTTCCCTCATTAATTACTGCGTCTCGTTCCTGGTTTCCCTGTTTTGCCTATCTTACCCCATATGCTGATGACTGGGTGTAACCATGAACAAGTATGGATCTTGACTATTACTATATATCTCCCTGTCCCTTCTCTGTCGTTTTCTTCCCCTTCCTCTTCATTTCCCCTTCTTTTCCATCTTGGTCTAGGTTGCTATACGGTTGGACTGTTTCGAATCACCACATTATCTAGACTGTGTTTATATATACGAATTTTCGTTAAATATTATCTTCTTAGCACTCTTTTATTTTCCTAGCACAATTATTATTCGCGACCATGGTTACAGCTTCTAAGAATGTGGTAGAGCCAGTATGTAAGTCATAGTTCAACCAAAGCCATCACTCACCAGTATCTAATGTCCTGCTATAGTCATTGTTCTCGCCTTTACTGCAGGATGTCTCATCAACAGACGAAAGGATACACAAGTGGCATACAATGAATCATCAGAAGATGTTGAAACTGGCCAACGATACATTGACTCGCCATCCCTGAAGCCAGCTCTGCTCCAAAACGAACGACCTGTGCGCAAAGCTCCCAACTTGTTCTTCGTTTTTCTCTCCCGCTTCTTTAACAAGTTTCCATTTTTAATAGAGATTTGGTACTGGAACTTGACATACTGGTACTTGTTACAGTCGAACGATACATATGAGTTACTGACCTGGTGCAGGATATATCAAGGCCTTCGAGCTGTATCAGCCAGAACAATTGCTGGCAACGAAGACATATTCGACCGCGCAAGAGACCATGCTCTTCAAATCCTCCGTCTTGAATCCTTCTTCGGTCTCAACATCGAGCAGCGCTTTCAGGCATACATGATGTCTGAACAACAATGGCTCATGACCATCCTCGCCAAGATCTACTACTCACACATCAGCGTCGGAATTCTCTTCCTCATATACATATATACTTATCTCCCACCTTCGACATTCCAACGAATTCGTCGCACCATCGCAGTTGACAACGCAATCGCTTTCGTCATCGTCACTCTCTGGCGCTGTTCGCCTCCTCGTTTACTACCTCCTGAGTACGGCTTCATCGATGTTTTACACAGCAAAGCTGGTGGCTCCAACGTTTGGAACAACAATCGCTTCCAATTAACCATCGCCGCGATGCCGAGTTTGCATTTTGGAACGTCTCTCTTCTTTGCCGTCTGCATGTGTCGCTTCTCTCCGCATCGTTTCATGCGTATAGTCGCTCCTTTGTGGCCCGCTGCTATGCTCATCACGATTGTTGCGACGGCAAATCATTTCCTAACAGACGCTTTTATCGGAGCTTTGGTTCCTTTGCTGGGATGGCGTATTAATCAGGCTGTTCTTATCCTTAAGCCTATTCAGGATTTTGTGTTTGCGCCGTTGGTCAATAGGTTAGACCTGAGAGATTCCAACGTACGGGTTATTCCCAAGACTTTGTAATAGTAAGCATGCTCGCTACATAGGCGAAACGAAGGCAGGCTACTGGGTAACAGAAAAGTTAGCCTCCTAAGTCTTAGGGTGCAAAAATAAACAGCCTAAGAAGCATAAACTGACCTACTGATTTCGTCCCGTATGCTTATAGCGGCCAATTTTTCTGATACCATGAGGGCAGGTAGCCGCTGTGAATCCGAGCTCTTTACTAAGAGTCTAATGTAGTGAAGCGATTCTCCAATATGTCGTACAATAACTTCACTCCCAAGATATTATGTAAAATATTTCTGTTCATTCATTTGTTGGCTTAAATATGCATATATCCCATCCTCTATCCGCTCTTTGAGATGTTGACAACAACCTTTCCAAAGTGCTGTCCACTGCTCAAATACTCGAGCGCCTTATTCGCCTCATCAAAACTAAAAGTCTTGCAGATGACAGGATGGATAGAGTGCTTCTCGTAGAAAGAAACCATCTCCTCAAACCGATCCTTGGGTCCATTGAGGATACCCTTGAGCGTGACGTTCCTTCGTAGAGCAAGCACATTGACACCGACCTTGCCGCCAGTGTCCTGCTCCTCCTCCTTGCCGGATAGGTATCCAACACAGTTGATCAAACCACCGAAAGCAACCGAGTCGAATGACTTGCGCAACGTGCGTGCACCACCTGTCTCGAAGATGATGTCGGCGCCATGGCCACCGGTGGCTTCCATGACAGGATCCTGCCACTCCCAGTGGGTGCGGTAGTTGATGCCAGTGTCGGCACCTAGGTCCTTCTTTGCGCGCTCGAGCTTGTCGTCGGATGAGGAAGTGATGATGACGTTGAGGCCAGCCGCCTTTGCGATCTGGAGACCGGCGATGGCGACACCGCCCGTGCCCTGGAGGAGAACCGACTCCTTCTTCTTGTTGCCGTCGGCGGGCTGACCCAATGGTCGCATGCCGTTGATACACATCCAGGCGGTGACGGCTGCGATGGGCAAACAAGCAGCCTCCTCGTCAGAAAGGTAATCCGGGACGGTGACGAGGCTGTCGGCGGAGAAGCAGCGGTACTCTGTCAGAACACCGGAGAGAGGCAAGCCGAGACCGGAGGCCATGTCGGCTTCGACAACTTGGCCGGTGAGATGGGTCTGGTTGAAGATGGACATGACACGAGTGCCCGTCTTGAGCTTGGGAGAGGAGCTCTGAATGACAGTACCGCACATGTCGGAACAGGGTACTAGAGCCTCAGTGTCTTGGACAGAGGCGTGGTGGTTGTAATCGCCATTGATGACTTGCGTAGTTAGCATAATGCTGTCTTTTTACCAAAGTTATCAACAACATACCTTCGGTATCACGATAATTCAAGCCAACGGCATGGATCTTGACAAGGACCTCTCCATCCTTGGGCTGCGGGACCTTTCCTTCTCCAAACTGGAGTTTATCGAGTCCATCCTGGCCGGTGGTCCACTGCTTGTTGGTCTCAGGAGTCGCCATATTCGCTGTATTTTCGGATTTTCTGAAAGGTAGATAAGATGAGATGAAACTAGTCATGATGAAAAGAAGAAGAAAGAGAAAGAGAATAAATACGAGCGAATGGATTCGACGTCAACGTTAACGTCAACTCTCAGTCAATGCTCTTACAAGTGGAGATGACGTCGCTGTTGGTGGATAGAGGTTATCCTATCAGAAAAGGGAACTAGATCGTTTCAGGAATTAATGCCGGACGTTGAAGAAATGTCTTAATAATCAAGACAACAAAGTTAAAGATTCATGCAGAACTTTGACAACGTTGAAAATGGACTATAACACATGCAGAGGAAAGGATACATACCTACCTACGTAAGGCATGAACAAATGGACAATCAAAAGACAGCCTCAGGCAGGACTTATACATGACACCAACATGATACAGCAAACACGTATAATTTAAAGCGTATGCACAACAGTTCTCTGGCCTCGCTGATCATCTTCTTATTCGTGTTTAAAACACCTACTTATACTCGCTATACCATACATGCACTCGACTCTCCTCACGACCGCTACCAGGCAAATTCAGAATTAATTCGAAACGGCATAGGCCCTTCACTCCAGCCAACTAGGCATACATGAAAACAGAAACTGTAACAAAACCATCAACTAAATCAATCGAGCAAATAATGCAGAACCAGATATTGTAACTTTTTTCTTTTCCATTCCAACGCGGCCTTCACTCCAACTTCAGCCGCCCTTTGCTTTGCGTGCCCAATAGTCCAATAGCCGGACTCGGGCGTCTCCATATCGTCTTCATCGTCGCGGTCATGCCAGGAGCAGCGCCTAGACAGAAATTATTTGGTGGGTATAGTAGTAGGTTGTAGTCGCAGAGGCAACTCCTCCCATCGCTGGCGATGTACACAGCCTGATGAGGAGAAGCCAGTATAGCTGTCTAGACGTAACGTCGTAAAAGCGTCATAATCGTCAGGTAGTGGTCGTAGGTCTTGTCGGGGTACAGGCGAGGGTATTCCAGGTTATGCGTGTTGCCAAGCGGGTTCGTGACCTTCCATGTTTGGTTGCCCAGGTGTGTTGAAAACATTGTGTATCCAGATATCCTATCCCATACTCTCTCATCGGTAGCTGTCATCAAGTCGGCCACACTTATGGGCCACTCTCGTCCCCAACAATCTTCAAAAGTCATAAAACCATTCCCACGTAAACTATATGCAATGGGGTTTAACAAGACAGGGCAAGGCAAAAGCTTGCCATCACTACCCCAGGTATGTAAATATTACAATTCGTAATAGCAAATGCGATGTAAAAAATTCGATGCGTCGTTTTCGTTGTCGTTAATCAACGCGCAAGTGTAGCCAGCGACTAGCTTCAACATCGCTCTAGGCTTGGCCCGCCAGGGGTAAGCGAACACACTCAGTGATATCGCGAGGCGTTAGTGGAGCTTGAACCAACACGGGCTCCATTGTCGGACGAATCTATGTTGAAATTAGTCCATGTTCAATTGACTATCAGTTCATTTGACATACCGCTGCCGCGAGTGGCGTGGCCGTTAGCTCGTCGGCCCGCAAATCCAGAGTTGAACTCCAACTCGGGTCCACGGGGCTGACGCTCAGGAGCTCCCTTAGAGCTGTTACCAGGACGTTGGCTGCCGATAGCGCCGGGGGTGCTTCGTGCCTGGCTCTGCATAGCGCTAGAATCGTATCCTAGGTTCATGTTGTTGAGGCTGTTGAGAAGAGCCTGGTCGTTCTTGGGGCCGGGGGTACCACTGCTGGGGTGGCCGGAAGGAGACATGTTCCCACCAATGTAGTCATTGAAGCGAGCGTTGGAGCCACCACCCATGTTGTTCATACCAGCAGGCGCGAGGTAGCTGGAAGAGGCCTGCGAAGGGCTGGGGGTGAAAGATCGGAGATCGGCAAAGCTCTTGGCAGCTCGGAGGTTGTTAGGAATGCTATTTCCATCAGGGCTTCCGGGAAGCTCAAGGGTGGGGCCCTGTCGACCCATGGCATGGGCGTAGTTGCTGCTGGCAGCCCTCGTCTCGCGATCCGCAGCAAAGTCAAAAGTAGCGGCACGGCTAAGTCCACGCTTGTGCATGTCGAGACTGGTAGCTGGCTGGCTGTGGATGTTGGTAGTGGGCGATGGCTGCTGTCTCTTGAGCACAGTAAGCTGGCGAGATTCGGCCTCGCCCATGGATTGATGCTCAAGACCCATGTTGTGTGCAAGGATGTGGATGGATCGGCGGTGCTCAGGGGCGATACCGGGGGGGAAGACAAGAACTTCACGAGAGTCATCACGGCGGAACATAACCAGCTCAGTATAAAACTCGAGGGTCTGGGGGTCGTTCAGGTCGACGTCGCCTGGCATGCTGATTGAGGGAGACTGAACGCGGGATGCGTCGAGCATACCGAGGTGAGCAGGGCCTCGGGCCTGAGACTGCGAAAGGCTACCGAGGGACTGGATAGAGCTCTGCTGGTGCAGCATGGGAGCCCTGTGTTGCTCCTCGAGCTGGCCACGGCGTTCACGCTTCTCACGTTCGATCCTCTCTCGCTCAGCCTCTGGGAGCATCTTCTTATATTCAACACGCAGTTTGCGTCCATGAACATCCATACCGTTCATGGCTTCGATTACCATACGTGTGTCCTCAGCGGACTGAAAGTTGGCGAAAGCCAGGCCACGGAAAACACCGTTGTCGAAGTGGTAGTTGAAGGCATATGGCTGAGGAAGGTGCATTTCGAGCATGATCGAAGCCAGTGTCTCCTTGCGAACTGCAAAGGGAATGTTCTTGATAACAATAGCAGTGGGAATGAGCTGATCGGCATCGGAGGTGTTTGATCGAAGATCTGTAGGCGATCCGTGGGATCCAGGGTGCTCAACACGGAGGTTGCCGTTTGACATTGGGTTGTTGTTCATTCCACCTTGGTAACCCTGAATACCACCATGGCTACCATGGATACCAAGACCGCTGTGGTCGGTCCATGTCTATTTTTGGTCAGTTTAGTCCTGTTATTCTGTTATTGCCACATACCTGAGGGAGAGCAGCTCGGCGATTCACGTTTCGCTGTCGGCCAGGGCCATTTACGGCTCCGTTGACAGTGGCGACGCCGTTTGTGTTGTAGTTCCAAGCCTGGCCGTTGTCCAGCATGTAGCCCTGCATACCACCAGCCATGTTGTCCATACCTCGATGGTTGTATCCACTTGCGATCCTGTCGGCAGGGTAGAGCGCAGATGAGCCTAGAGGAGCGTCAAATGGGCGTTGGGTCTGGCGGGGTAGTGAGAGTCCAGCAGAAAAGCCACCAGCGGTAGCATAGTTCTGTCTCGAGTTCGGAGAACGGTTGTTGGAGGCACCATAGTCAAGGTAGCTCATGTCGTGCGGTTGTTGCGACATTGTGATGATTGAATCCAGTTTGGCAAGGAGCTGCTGATTCTACCCAGCAGTCTACTATACCAGAATATTGATGTTTTTATGATGGCAACGCAAGATTTACGTTGGCTTAAAGATGCGCGTCGCAAAAGGTATCAGATGCGTAATAAAAACTAACGATGCGGCATCAAAATCGTCGATCGGGGTCCGATGTTCGTTTCGGTCGTAAGCGGTGTAGCTAAGAAATGAAGCACAAGACGCAGCCACGAACTTGAATGAGCACGCTCAAGAGTCCCGCAATGTCAAACGCAAGATTTGCAGCTGAGTCAACCCGACTAAAACGTTTGGTTCGTTTTGACGTGTCTGTCGTAAAGGTTGTCGCTAGGCAACCAAAGCGGGCACCGATAGCAGGTCTTAATTCGTGAACCTTTTGTGGCAAGAGGGCGAGAATGTAGCCAGCACAGCGAAGGAGGCCTTTCGAGTCAAGTCCTGTCAAGTTCAGGATTCCAGCGAAAGTGGCGGAGTAACGTCAGAGGCTACTTTTTGACTCGTTTTTCGGCAGGTAATGCAACCAAGACGACAAACGAAATATTCCAGGAAACGAATAGCGACGTTTCAAACACGCACTATTTCAAACTGCTATTGAATAATAAAATAGTGTTGCGAAAAAGGGGAGTGGATTGGATTCGCGCGGCAAACTCGTCTCTCGTTGGTTGCAAAAAGTCGTGGATTTTCGTCGACGTAAGGGCTGAAGCTCTGGACGAACCAGAATTGCGAACTACAGAGGAGTAGGTAATCAAAGGGAGAGAGAAGAGGGTAAGTGACTGGGAGATGTCGACAAAAATTGGGGGGAGGAGAGGGGAAGAAGAAGGATTGAGGAAAGGGGGTTAAGAGGAAGGTAGAGGGGGAGGAGAGAAGAAAAAGAAGATGGAACAAGTCCCAGTAAATGTCCGTGATGATCTGGATGGAACGGGAAAACGGCGGACGGGAGACGGGAGACGGGGGTTTGAAAGAAGGTGGATGGATTGTGGTTGGGGAGGTGACAGCGGTTTCTCGTTACCTTGTGCCCTTTTTTTTTTTACTTCCTCTCAGGTTCTGTTCTCCAAGTCAAGAGAGTCCAGGAGTGGAGGCCCTTAATTTTTCCCTCCTGTCTTGTCTTGACCTTGCCTTGTCTGGTCTGGTCTTGCTAGGGAGGGGAACAGAAAAGATGACTTTTGAGGTTCAAGATAACAAAATAATTGCTCTGATAATCCACCCCCAGTTCAAGACAGCATAACTCACTAATTTTGTCTCTTCTACTTTAAGCAGCCAACTTTTCTGATCCCCAAGAGCCTGGGACCCATGAAAGATGATGAGATGGAGGGTCCTGACAGTGCGCGCACAGTGACAAGCCACCCGCCAGAGGTATCCATGGCGTAAATTGGTGGGCTCTTCAGCGCTGTTCAATTACCTCCTGCTGGGAAACCCACTGTGGATCAGCATCCCCTGAGATGCCCTTGAAAGCTTGAGATTGAATGCATATTGAGATATACAGCATGGTCATAAAGTATATAATGCTATGACTTTGCCTCTTCATTCAATGAATTGCCAGATGCTTAATCATTTATCTATGCATCACAGCACTATACTTAAACTCCATGCTAAAATATGCATTTCTCAACTTTAGCTCAATGTGGGGGCTTGTGAAAAAAAGTGACGATGAACCTGGGAGGCTGGCTCTACCGCAAGTTACAAGCCACATCTTTACTTGGCATTGTCAGCCGTTTTGGAAGAGGCTGACTGTATTGGATATCAATGTTGGTATCTTTCTAGAAGGGTTGTCGAATCGAAACATCACAATGGCATTTGATAGATTTTCCCTGGACAAATCAAGTCCTTTATCCAAAGATTCAACTGTGGCAGACACAGCAACAGTGCGAAATCAGCAACGTCATCTGGGCTAGGTCCAGCGTTCGAGTTAGCTCAGTGGACCGCATAACATTGGACACGCCAATGTGTTTGTTGTCGTTACAATCTATGTTTATGTCTCTAGCTAAATGAATGTTCTCTAGCGAATTTATGTTGTGCATATCACTCTGCATTCAGATCTGGTATTACATGCATTCAAATCAAGTTTTGGTGGGCATCCTTATGCAGTGCAAGTTACAATTCAAGCCTTTATCGTCACACTTTTTAGCTGAATGACTCTCAGTCAGAGCCTGACTCGATAGGATGCATGAAACCTACTGTTGACTCAAGTGAAGCACACACTGTAATTGTATTGCATTGTATTTATTGTACAATTATTTTGACATGTCGTGTATGAACAAGGTAGTCAGCGTTGGAGCACAACCTCGAACCCTTCAGCTTACCTGCACTATTAGGTAGTACTGTTCCAATACTTTGATTACAATTCCCAAGGGGTAGTCTAGAAAAGATAATAATAGGGAGTCGAGAAACAGTCCCGCAAGTCGGTTATCATTACCGCCGGAAAATCTTGACCGTCGGTATCTTACCGTAACCCGCGTGTCATCTTGGAGTTTGTCTAAGTAATTACTTCGTCTTGTTTAGCTCCAACACCCCTATTATGATATGGCCGGCCTGTCTCCCCGGATGATGCTAGTAAAAATACAGTAGAGACTGGCGGCCACTGTACAGACCCGATGCCATAGCGTAGGTTACAATCCATCGTGTGGTGATCACCTTGCACAAAGACAAAGACAAAGTGTTAATGAACCTATTGTCACTGTCATGTTCGCTCGGACTGGCATGTCTTTGATTGCTTTTTTTTGTCTCGCATTTAACCTACGTATCGGTTCTGAACGGTAGCACTGAGTTATTGTGAGATGCCCATCATGTCGTATCGTCTCCAGGGGGGCTGCCAACAAGATTTGCGAGGCTTCATTAGACGGTACTTTCATGCGAGATTTGACAGTCGGTTAGTATGTATTTTGAGATGCTCATAAACCATGATCAAAAGCCACGTGCATGAGTCCATCTGCGGCTCTTTGTTGACAAGCCTTTTTGGGGCTTTCTTTTTGGCTTATAATTAGCATCCATGATATTTGACACTTTGACCATCCAACGTCTTCAACGCTGACAACGTAGTATTACCCGAGCGGCTGTGCAGTGGGAGATGAGTTCAAGTCTAATTAACAACATGATTTTGCCTTTGGTCAGACCGGAACTGATCCGACTAAGAATAAATTTTGTCTTTTTTTTTTTCTCTTGTCAAAGATTTTGTTCAAGTACCGCAGTACATGTCAACGGCCCGTCGGGCGGGAAGCCACCTAATCAATGCATGTAGTGGAGTACAAGCTGTCTACAGTGTGAAATTCTTTGCACTAAACCTGCTTAACAACTAACGTTAGCAATAAACTTTGCTCGAAAAACCAGAGGGAAAAGGAATTATAAAGTGCCGTTTATCAACAAACATCGCCTAGGAGACGCCATTTCTCTCAGCTTGCTGTATATCCACGTCATTACATTACTGCAAGACATGCACGTTAACGGCAATGATAGTGAGTGAGGGTTATCGTCGAGCATAGCCCCTTTTGTTTTTCCAGAACCAGAGAACTGCTTTGTCCACCATGACGAAGCCAGGGTCATCCTAACCCGCCCACCTGGGCCGATATCAGGGGGCCTGGCCTGGTCTGCCTGATCTCAGGGGACTCCCCAGTCTTTGGGTCGCCGTTCGTTGACCGTATGTACTGTATCCGTAAGCCCCGGGATGAGAAACGAGGGGACCCGGGTCCCTGGAAATTGACCACTGGTGGGCTGAGGGGTTGTTATTGTTGTTGTTGTTGCTTTGCTGTTCGGCTCACTACAACGTCCATTCTGTTTGATACTCAGTATATCAGTCCGTGGTGGATCTCATTCTAATGAAGCTCATGTCCTATGTCGCAGAATTCCCTTGTCCAAAAGTCTTGACTGGTAGGTGAAGCATGTCACCTTCATCTTCTGGACCCTCCTCTCCTTTTTCTTCTCTCTTTCTCTCTTGCTCGGTTCGTTTCGTCCGGCTCGCCTCGTGTTTCTTAATTTTCATATGTCATTAAAATGTTCGAGAAGGCCTACTAGCGTATTCTTTCACCTTATTTCGCCTCGCTAACAATAGAAAATACTCAAAGCAAGAAGAAAGAGGTGAGGGCTACAAACTAAATTGATCCCTGAGGCTGCTGGACCAGATCCCTGAGGTCTGAGGAACCGAAGAACGCCTAAGCCAAGCGAACATCCCAGCTTAGCCTCATCTCGCCGTCGCTCGCTTGTCATCACCCCCGGAGATGGCGGCTCCTAGATCACGCGGCCATGTTCTCTCCACCCCTGGCGAAAAAATAAGATGAAAGAAATTCGTCAAAATGCTCTAGAAGCTCCGGCAGACGGGTCTGCTCCCCGGTCTCTGTTGACATATCTGCTCACCGATCTACGGACATGCATATGGATATGGATTTTGATGAATCCTTGTGGTATTGCATTACTCTCAAGATGAAGATGCACAATTACTTCTCTCGTCTGTCTTTCACCCCTCGTCAACATATCCAGTCCAACCTTTTGGTTGCAACCATTTATAGAAGCACGTGTCTCACTTGAACCTGGTTCATAAGAATAAACAGTCATGAGACCATCTTTTACTACACCCACGAGTCGCAAGTTGGCCCAGCTACAGTATTTTCTTGTCTCAAATATCAGAAATTTACATACATCACGAACCGTAAATTGATGTCTTATTCGCATGTAGTCATCAACCAAACTTGCATACTAGCTTGGGTTAGTGGGGGATCATCGTCAGCCGCAGTGACGCCCCATTTCCACCTTGACGAGCCTCACGGCTTTCTTCCATGATATCGCCACCATAAAGACATAAACAAGCAGATATGATTTGATGACTTGAATGGAGATCAGGCACCAACACGAGGTAGCATCTAATAACCCGCGACCCATAATGGAAATCATTCCCAAAGTACCAGTCCATCGGCATCCGTCATGCAGGCCTCCGCCCTCGCCTCTCGCCTGCAGCTGTTATAGGCACAAGCACAGCTGCAGCTGCAGTTCGAGCTAGTAAATGCGACTTTGGCCATACAGAACGTCTCGTCTCTTCTGGGACATACTGCGGAGTTGTTGTCGAGCCTCAAGCAACATCGCCTCTTCGGAACCAGCTGACACCGATCCAACCACGAGGCAGCAAGCCACAACCTCACAAGCAAGGCAAGACAGTTGTCACCAGTTCACTCAAAGTCAGGGGTGAAAACACCCAAACGACGTTTGCAAAGTCCCTGCAACAAACACTGTGCAGTGTACTCGTTCTCAACAGCTTCTTTGATGCACCTGGGTTAAAAGTGAGATGTCATTTCAGCTGAAGTTGATTAACCATCAAAGCAGGGGTGCAAAAGCCTCTCAAGTCCCAGATCAAGGATGCTTGGCGTATAAGCATGGTCATGTTTGTAGTATGTACAGAGTACCTGGTATTGATTCAAGCTTTCGGCGACTTAAAGAGTCCATACATTTACCGATCAATAAAGCGGATAGACTATAGCAGAGCTTAGGTCTTTCCTAGGGTCAGTGAAACATCGTATCATTTGATCTTGACAGTTCATTTTTAACAAATGTGTCAAGATATATTCACTACATTACTGGCTATCGACCTTGCATGCTTGTTAAAAATGATAGGTGAGAACCACGACAAGAGGCCAGTATGAGCGTACTGAAAATCATTTTACATTGGAAAATGTAGTTTTGTATTTATCAACGCTGGACTTGAAATTATTCCTCGTCTGAGTAACTCATCTTCACGATGTTCGTCTATCTTGTGCTACCTTTGAGTCTGCAAGATCAACATCAAGAAATAACCTACAACCCTGACCAAAAAAGATAGGATAATTGACATAGCAAGATAGACCGTTCTAGCTATTCCTTCCTCATTGCGTTCATAAACTCCTCAACACTACAATGGATCCACGAGCAAGAGTACATAGCCGACACATCTTGGCCGATTGGAATCAATCTACCGAAAACGCTCAACTTAAAATAGTTAGTGTATCCAATCTCAAAATCCATGATTTCTGTTTGAACTCCTTGTAGTACATTTCATCTCAATACTGCCAATCTCTGATAGCAATTCTGTTGACGCCCGGATATATTGTGTCCATAGAAGTCCTGGGCGTCTGCCGCTCTGGTTGCTTCAGGCGCACAATAATCCTTGTTCCTTGAGTGGAACTCAGTTGGTAAAGTTCCATTGCTATTACCTTTCTTATTCTGTTGTCCTCATTATCTCGATGTTTACATATGTAGTGATTAGCAGTGGTGAAGAATGTAAAATGTCATTTGGGCGTCAAAAAGTTGGTAGAAGCATAAAGGACGAGATTGGTAAGTCAGTTTATACTACAGACGACACTCTTATGTCAGTTGTTGCATACTGGAATGTGCAATGACGTCTAGGTCGATACTGTCAAGACGATACTTTCTGATTTCTTAAACTTCTGCCTGTCAATTCATCGTATCCGTTCGCTGTATACTGCTTCAGAGATATACCTTAGACGACTTCAAAGGCCGAGTGGCTTTGTCTCAGCTGGCAAGTTGTATCAACCAGTTCGACAGAGAACTTGGTAGACGAACGGTCCACGGCAACAAACGAGAAAAAGTCAACAAAATTACAATATTCATTCTGAGGATTGAATTATGTCTTTCTCGGGTGACTGGTCGCTCATGGCGAATTGTATCGAAGTGGTTAGCCGCAATCATTAGTTGTTCAATCAGTTTGGGCTTGTACAAGACTCGAGGTACGGGCCGGAGCACTACTCCTGTACCTGAATTGAGAATTTGCACTGGCATTGTACATTTGTTCACAGAATCCCGTTGTACTATCAACCATGGTAATAAAATAAAAAAAGAGAGATCGTAGCAAATATGATACATGCCCTCCAATTTGGCGTTTTCATATCGCATGCCAAAACAGGCAGAGTTTGGTGTGGTATCATGCATTTATATTGGCCTCCAAGCTTTAGGGCACAAGATAAGTATCTCAAACAGTCTGATCTAAACAGAACAAACTGATATAATAATCCAATCTCTTATACTTCCAGCATCCAATTTTTCTAATATCCTGATGGCCACTCTGTGGTATCAACTAATAAGGTCCAGGTTAGCCGCAGCATGCAACATGATTGGACAAGGTCCTGCAGGCAAATGCTCGGCTAACAACAGCCATGGCCGCCACATTTAGCCACAGCGGGACATGATCATCTCCAGGCCGAGCCTTGGTTTCAACTGTTCAATGCCAACAACGATGCCCTCAGCATATATCAAGATGCTCAACCTTGCTACAAACCGCATAGTTGACGCCTCTGTACCGGTAGAAATGCTGATACATGCCATATGATCAACAAGGCAATCAATGATCCATAGGTAAGACAGAGTCATCAATATGCGGCAAGCCGTTGCTGGCATGACAGCGAACAGAGATGAGATGAGCTCGAGTGAGTATCAACACAGCTCCTTCACCATCACCTCTGGAAACTTGGAAGAAGTCTTCTTCGAATCTAAGCCCTCTTTTCTATCTCATTTGTCTTTCTCAAAGACTTGGAGGCACTCAAAACCATGTTGCAGTGGTTGCGATATCCCAAGCCTCTTCTCTCTCACATCTTGTGGTAGCCCAGCTTCTTACCGGATTTACTTCGGATCTTGCAGCTCCGAGCTGCGGGCAAAAAGCCAGAGCTACCATGTACGTACCGCCAAAACTACAGATCAGGTCGTTCTTGCCAGAGCCCAGCCTGCTGTTTGTCTGCCTGAAGGAACAACCTAGCTGCAGTACATCAGCACCGCACCACCGAATCCATCACCCACTAAATTTCTGCCACTCGATTACTCGATCCCGCGTTTTTTTATCATCAACAACATCAATCGATTATTCGACGTTCGGTTACCGCGTTCGAGTCCTTGGTCACCCATCTTAAGATTTTTGATACTTTTATCTTACGACTTTTTTTTAACGCGACTACATCGACAATGCCTGGTGGAAAGGGAAAATCTTCTGGCGGAAAGAGCTCCGGCGGCAAGACGAGCGGTACTGAGGGCGCCAACAAGAAGCAGCAGAGTCACTCTGCTCGTGCTGGTCTTCAGGTGAGTTTCGACTCGAGAGCTAGCAGGGGAGGTTGAGCTCGCTTTGTCCACCGATTTGCGCGCAATCCTGTGTCCTGCATCCCACGTATTTCAAGTTCCACGATATACTTCCGACGCGTCGACCATCTCCGCACGACAAGAAAACCTTTTTCCAAATGACAGCGCATCATTTGTTTCAACCCACCCGCGCATTTTGACTGGGGCGACGACTTTGCACCAGTTCACCGATATTCTTGGACGACTACCGACGTAACTTGGATTCACGATGGGTCAATGCGGGACAAGACGGAATGCGCAAGCGAAGACGGCTCGGAAAGCAGAAATCATCAGACTGCTGATCTGTCCAAAACCTTACTGACATTGTTATTTCCAGTTCCCTTGCGGTCGTGTCAAGCGTTTCCTCAAGCAGAACACCCAGCAAAAGATGCGTGTGGGAGCCAAGGCTGCCGTATACGTTACTGCTGTTCTCGAATACCTGACTGCTGAAGTTTTGGAGTTGGCAGGCGTAAGTTCATCCCCGCTCAGTCACTACTGGTGCCTAGTGTTTGCTGACTTTCATGACAGAACGCTGCCAAGGATCTCAAGGTCAAGCGTATCACACCCCGCCACCTCCAGCTTGCCATTCGTGGTGATGAGGAGCTCGACACTCTGATCCGTGCAACAATCGCCTACGGTGGTGTGTTGCCACACATCAACCGCGCTCTGCTGCTCAAGGTTGAGCAGAAGAAGAAGGCCAAGGCGCTTGAGGGTTAAAGAACAGGTCTCGTTTCGGGGTTTAGTTTTGCTTTTTTGCTTCCTTGGGTCTTGTGGTATACTAGTTTATGGGACGGTAATGCAGAAATTCGAATTCGACGGTGGCGCCGCGTCGCGAGAATGAGCGGACGTCCGCACGACCACAGCTTGAAGTTTTAGCTAAAGGCGCCTGCGCTTTTGAAAGAGGCACACGACGAGCTCTCGCGTCGGCTCGAGAAAGCCGGTGCAACGACGAGAGGGTTCTCATTATGACGAAACGCCATGTGCTATTTTTGCTGCGCGAGCGGTGTACAACAATTGTGTTTTCACCTTTGGTGTCTGGTACGGGATGCGACACGGAACCGCTGTGCTGATGGGACTGGATTAGGTAGACACGGAAAATACGAGTTCCTGGTTGAGTCGCCGAGATGTGTTTTCATATTATGTCTGTATACGCAGGTAACTGAAATGAAGCTATTATCTCCCCTCATGATGCAGTCGCTTCAAAGACATCAATGTTCTATATGCTCCCAATTCATCATTTCCTTTTCAACGTTCTATGCGCATACAAGTCGCACGCCCCAAAACTCTTCCTCGTCGTCCTCGCCTTCCTCGCGTTTCTCTTCATGCTCATTTTCTGGCTCCTCGTCATGCTCTTCTTCTTCGTCTTCATCCTCGTCGCTGCTATCAGGGGAAAATTGTGATGTCACAAACCAATCGTCTTTTTCGTCATCTTCGTAGGCTGCAAGGACCTCATCTTCGTTGTTAACTTCCTCTGGGTCCGTCATTTGTTGATCGAATTCTGGGATAAGGCCGCATAGGGGAAGCTTGTTGACATTCCTGCCATCTTCGCCATACACTGGAATCCCCATGGACATGGTGCCAACGACCACTTCATCGGGTCTGTTCATCATGGCTTCGAATCTCTCCGAGTGACACTGGCTTGGGTAGTCGCAGTCAATCTCGCAGTTGTGTGTGTTGCTCAGCATTCGCTCCAGGCGCTGTTGTGTCATATCGGTACGTCGCCTGGTCTCAATCTGTGCCTTCATCACCCGGCGCCTCTCGCCTCTCAGAGCAGCGAGTTCGCGCTTGTTCTGGCGTCTCCATTCATCGGGGGCGGCATTGTACGCAGATCGGAAACGTCGCCAGTCGTTGTGGATGGTCCAGTGGTCGTAATCGTGGTTCTCAGCTGGTCGGGTGCCGCGATACTTCTTAATGCTATGCTGGCGTCTTTCCGGACTCGTGTGAGAACGACCGATCATTTTGCTGCCGCCGACAGTCTTGGTCTTTATGCAGCGGAGGCAGCGTCGGGTGACGGCGAGCTTCCAGGTAGATCTGCAGTGGCGGCATGTCCATGTCCAAGAGGCGGGCTTGCCAGGAGGAGGAGATATTGGGGGTGTGGATGAGTAGGATAACATGTTGGGAGGTGGTGTTTCGAGAATAGTCATGGTAACTATCATTGCAGTGGGTAGATATATGTGTTGAATCACAAATGAAGAATTGCTTTTGATAGAAATGATTGTAAATCAATGTTGTACTTGGTGAAGAAGAGAAATTGATTTCCTCAGCGATTGGAATAATCATTTATTAGTTGTTTCTTGTGAGTGTGAGAGGGGGCCTACAAACGCAAAACAACAAACGAGGGAGCTGTTGTTCAGAGCATAATGGCTCTTCTGCATAGAGAGCGGTCTTTGGTCTTTGCACAAACTGGCCAAAAATACTGGAAGAACACTCTTATTGTTCAAAAGTGCTTTGTGAAGATTTGGTTAACTCTTTGTCGCAGGCACAATGGGTGAGAAGGGTAATGAAAGCCGAGGTGCGAACAATGTAAGTTTATTGAACAGTGACTCGGCAGTGTCAAAGAAAGGAGGGTATTTTGTATCTATTTTTTGCACTTTCGCGAAGGTTATGCACGAGAGTCGTTGAAATCTTTGCACCTCTCCGCCTCTAGCTTGGCCAATTCGTATACCAACACAACATCATGTCAGTAAAAGTACTTCCGAAGCAGATTATCAATATCTGAGTTTGTTTCGTTTTAAAGAGAGCAGTAGAATGAAACATATATTATTATCATTCTCTGTAATTAGAGGCTTGGTGTATAACGGAAATATTGGTCTCTAAACTTTAGTATAAACATAAATGATCTGAGAATTGATTGTCTAAGTAGCATAAACTGATTTGATGATTCCGTCTCTTATACTTTGGGCGCCCGATCTTTTTGATACCATGAGGATCATGAGTGCCCGACTTTGAGATTTGGCTGCTATAACCTCATGGGTCACCATCTTATTTAGTGATTGGACTTTCCCTTTGTGAAGGACACGTACTTACCTTAGGGTGCCCGGATTAAAACTACAATTTGTTTTCAAGCTAACATGCGTATACATTATGAGATTAAATTATAATGTACCGATGTGGTATCGCATTCTTGACATATCATGGCCAAGTTGGACACTATGCCCTGGATTTTGGGATGACACTCGATGATAAATCCAGGGCAGGTCTCTATCTGAAGCCAAGGACACGGCTCTCTTATTTTTCAGACACCGAACACCCCATTAGCCAAGATCTTGGTGCCTTCAAAACCACCCGGCCGTCTGCCGTCTGCCATCTGCCATCTGCCAGGTGCCAGATAACCGTCTCCTCCGCTAAAGCTATATCAACCGTGAACGCATCTCTATCCTCAACAACGCAGAAGCATTCCGGTGGCCTGACGGGCAGAGATTTGCTGAAGAAAACAGAACCCTAGAGGTACATGAATCTTCACCCCAGCTGCCAGTATTAGGAAACCCTCGAAGAGGCAGCAGTACGGACTTGTAGTATAGCGTAGATCGCACCCCAAGCATTATCCGCCCATTCAGTGCCCCGGTAGCTCTGTAATCGGGCCCTCTTTTTTGGGGTTTGTTTAATATGTGCATGTGTTTTTTTTTATCGATTTCGGGGTGGAAAAAGCGTGAGGTCGATGTGTTTCGAACTTGCGATGCTGGCAGTTGTGGTTTAGCGCATGTACCTTTTGAGTTTTGGTGTCTTGGGGATGAGATGAATTTCAGATGATGGATTAAGCAATCGGGGACCGCCCGGGTGACCACCCGATGGCAGTGCAAGAATAATATAACCTAGTTCCCTGTTGTCCCCCATGTATTTGAAAGGGGCTTCCCCATGATTGCTTCTAATGTGTTCTATGCCGAAGTTACTTCGTTACTCCTGGAGATAATCTCAGCCAAGTGAAACTGGTGGCTCCGATTCGGATCAGATGCAACAAATGGACGTAATGAATGATGGCACGTTATCTCATCACTCCATACCAGGCAAGAGAACTCATGTATGATACCAATGAAGGCTTGTTATGCGTGACTAGGCAGAGGTGGCCCGACTTAGATTACCTCCCTACCTAGGCATGGAAAGAGAACCATAGGCTTATGGGATATTGTCCCAACGTTAAATCATCAGTTTTTGGGTAACATGTAGGTATGATGATATGTGTAAAGTTATTGGATTTGGTGCACAATCATATTTGATTGTGTTCAGTATCTAGAGACATCTCCAAGTACTAGAGACTCTTGTCATGAATGGGTAGAATACTATTGAGAACTTTTATTTACTACTTGGTCAAACTCCTTCCGATGTCGCTTAGATATTACTAAGGCTATTTTTGAGGGCGAAGCCAGAGATGAAACTTAATTACTCGAAACACTAAACTTAAATCTAGAACAACTTCATGTGATAATGTCAGCAGTGTTTCCTTGTGAACATAGATGCAATATGTATGGCCCGCAGAATATTTGCATTAGACCTTCTAATCAATGTCCTCTGCTTACCGTACTTTTCCGTAATCATCGTCATAGTTTTTGTGCCGATAATCAATATATATGCCTTTGGCTTCACTTGTGACTTCAAGATCACGATGCCGTGCTGATACACATTCCATTTAGAGGTGTCATCGATAGCCCAAAATCCCGCCGCTATCCCCTTACCAACTGGAAGTACCTTGATATCCGTTTTTAATTTGCTATTTCCAACTTTCTATGTGTTGTAAAGTGGAGTGAGTTTGAGTTATCGGACTTGGGACAAGCTTGTTGACAGAGACGCAGGATTTACCTTTCTCAACACCCTCGTTAAGGGAGGGGGTTAGGGCACAGGTCAAAGATTTTTTGCATATAAGGAGTCGTCTTCTCCTCCTCAGGCTCCTTTCTTTCTTCTCCTCATCACATACAGCTCAAGTACATAGAGGAACTGCCAACATACTCCAACATCTTTACCAACATATCCTCTGTACACACGCTCTTTCTTACTTCTGCATATAACATCCTCGTTACACAGGCAGCATCTAACATAATTTGTCAAGGAGTTAACGACACCTGGCATGGAGATGTTGGCTTCGCGCCTGATCACCCGCCAAAACAGACAATCTACAACATGCGGTTCACGAGAGACGTGAGCTTACATCTCACCTTGTTGTGTGGGACTTTCAGTATCCATCATCACTTACCCACACGGCGCACAAATTCATTATGAAGCTGCTGTACATGAGACACCTTTTCTCTTTTTATCTCAAACCTTTTTCACCAAGGTTCCTTTGACACACCTCTCGATTTCTCAAAAGCATATCCATTCACCAATATCCACAGATCCAGAAAGAAGAATGAATCGCATTTTTACAAATATTGAACGTTTGATCCATTCATTCATACATAAATTCATTCATTCATACATTAATTTTTGTGTTGAATGACAACATCGAGTCTGGGGTCAAACTTCACAATGTATGAAGCTCACATACAACATCATGCTATGGGTCTTCATTCCAGAGATGGGATAATCCATCCACACGACTGAAGCAGAGGTTACTCTTGTAGGGCCTTTGGTTGGCATTCAATTATGTCAACGTACAAGTGTTGTTTGCATCTTATGATGTGAATCTTCAACTACAGTCTCAAACGCTTTTCGCGTTTTCGCCTTTTTTGTGCATCGTACAAAGGGTGTTAATCCGGTATCACCATGGATACTCTCCAATTTGATAACCCTATCGCCGATCCCAGGTTTGATATGACTGGGAGAGGTGGGTATATCATCATATCATGTCATCGGCAGTCACAAGTCTTGATTCTCAGAGACTCATGAATGCCAGTCATTTTTTACTCTCCAACCACATTTGGAAGAGCTGAGGCCCCAGGGACTCTCCCCTGTCATGCCCTCTCACTTGTTCTGATTCTATTTAGTGGCTTTCAGAGAGCCTCCTATGGATATTGAACCAGAAGTGATATTCATGCGGCCTGATACGTCTCTGTTTTCGCCGCACCGTTTATTTGATCCAAAACGGGTTGCATCTCAAACATCTTCGACTGAGTTGCAGGGCGAAAGACAAATATCAGGACTCAGGTGAGGGTTTACCCCCTGACAGTCAATTGAGATGTCTTCGAGCCAGATCTGGACTTCACCAGCTCGGGCAACATGGCTCAGGGTCGGTCAGGCCGTCCTTTCCGTTTCCGGAAACTTTCTGTGCTCCGGAATCTATGGGTTCTCCCATGGAGGGGAGAACCAGATGTACATTGATAGTTTGCAGAATCGCGATTCGCGATGGTGCATCTTTCATATTGTTTTCTCGTCACTCTTGTCTGTTCATCATGTTTTTACGAAAAGAAAAAGAAAAGAAAAAAGCGAAAGAAAAAACTTCCTGGCAACGAAAACGTGTCTATCAAGGGGTCTTCTACAAAGAGAAGACACCTTAGACGGGTGGAGTTTGAAGGAACATGCAATGTTGCATTTTTCTTCTCCACGGTGATGGAAGCCTAATTTCGAGTTAGATGATGAAGGGACCAGAAACATGCGCGTACAATGTTCGTTGACATAGACAGCAAGCATATTACAAGTAAATAAATGAAGGTACAAAGAGAAACGATGTCTAGTGATGAATGTGCGGTGATAAATAAGCCTCCCATAGCAGTACTTCTTAAACGCTGTCCCTCGTGGCAATGAAACCTTGACTTTGGAAAGTTTAACAAGTGAAGCGAGAGATTGATTTTTTTAATATCTCTTCATTCAAGATGGGACTAACTACTAATAATAGAGGTTATATCCAACCTAAAATAAAGAAGCTTTGTAGTGATTATTCCCGGGTTTTTGTTCCTGGATTGAATACAGGGGTAATCAAAGCCACAAGTGGCGGTGCAAAAGATCACAGCAATAGACACATGCCTGCTTGAGACATTACGTAGCTGGACGACCCAATAAGCTTGCAATCGCGTCGTGTCCTTTTTCCGGCCGAAGCTGAGTTTCAAGATTCATGATCCTCGTTCAAGCTCCCTTGCTAAACCTCGAGCCATCAACATCAACCTCCCATCCGGACGACCTCAATTGCGTTTGTACCCCCGACCCAAACCACCCTTGACAGGCTGTCGCTCGCTTTCCCTTCGCTGCGCTCCTAGCAGCTCCTATCAGCAACAACAACTTCCACTTTCTTATCTTAGTTTTGCGACAGCAACCGCATCACCGCAACCATGCCTTTGAACGTCTTCCGAGTCGCCGGTACGTTTCGATCCTCCCACTCGATAAATTCATCAAAAGTTGTCTAACGTTTTTTCCAGCGGATTTTTCGCATCTCGGCTCCATCTTCATTTTGCTTCACAAGATGGTGCAGCTTAACGTTAGACCCCCTTGTCAATTTGACTGATCAGCAATACTAATAATCACTAGAGCTGCTCAGGTATTTCCTTTAAGTCTCAGACCCTCTACATGCTTGTCTACATCACTCGCTATCTCGGTATGTTCCATGATGAAAACGTTCTATACGCACCCTAACCATCTGTTAGATCTTTTCTCGACCGACAGCATCTACAACTTCATCTTCAAAATCCTCTTTCTTGGCTCGCAAGGTTATATTATCTACCTCATGACCAACGCCTACAAGCCCACCAACGATCCCAATGTCGACACCTTCCGCGTCCAGTACCTCCTTGCTGGAGCCGCTGTCCTCGCCGTCGTCTTCCCCTACCACTACACCTTTTCTGAGATTATGTGGGCCTTTTCCATCTGGCTCGAGTCTGTGGCTATCCTCCCCCAGCTCTTCATGCTTCAGCGAACTGGTGAGGCCGAGACCATCACCACCCACTATCTCTTCGCCCTCGGCAGCTACCGCGCTCTCTACATTCCCAACTGGATCTACCGATACTTTTCTGAGACACACCACAAGGTCGACACCATTGCCATTATCGCCGGTATCGTTCAGACCGTCCTGTACAGCGATTTCTTCTACATCTATTATACCAAGGTCATGAAGGGCAAGAAGTTCAAGCTCCCCGTCTAAGTGCCAACACCGAGATACCTGTACGAATAGGGCAAACAAAGCTCTCGAAATGTGTCCCATGTTCGCTGACACAGTAACGATGAAGTAGCCGAAAGGCAAGACAAGACCGCAGTTTTGGTCACGACAACTCCGGCTTCAGGAGATGCATGCACGGCGTTGGTTTGGGAGGTCAACAAGGCGGTAATCACAAAGGCGTCGCCGTTTGGCTTGGAGATTTGAGGAAAATGATCGTTGATTTCAATGCTGTAACAAGTCAAAATAGAGAGTTGTATTTGTTGAAAACTGCTACCAATTGACATCACTCGACAAGGCAAACGCCTTTCAGAGTGACACGATAGAGCAGTTTATGAATAATTGAGAGAGGAATTCACATGAGAAACTCACAGTGCTTGTTTTTAGCCTCCGTTAATTAGTCGCATTAAAGTTCTTGGCGCTCTGCAGCTCATGAGCAGCCATGACATCTAATCTAATCACGTGACTGTATCTCATTAACGCGTTAACTATACCCAGCCTTTGACTTCAACATCAAAACCACTTTATCGCATTCATCAAAACCGTCAATATGGCTAGTGATGCGCCCGAAAAAACAGCTGAGCAGACCCCTCCTGCGCCAGAGATTCCTTCTGAGGAAGCGCCTCCAGCACAAACAGTCCCTGAATCACGATTGCCGACCCGCAAGGATGTCTCCCTCCGAGAGTTCTTGAACAAGATGGAGGACTATGCACCTATTGTATGCATCTCATCCTCTTCAATTTTAACAACCTAACACCTTGTAGATTCCTGACGCAGTCACCAATTACTACATGACCAAAGCTGGTCTTCCACCACCTCCACAGACTGATCCCCGTCTCGCGCGACTGCTCGCCCTCGCGACACAGAAGTTCATCGCAGACATTGCCGCAGACGCTTACCAGTATAGCCGGATCCGCGCATCATCAAACACCAATAATCCCATGGGCTCTCTTGGTGCGGCTGCTGGATTTCCCATTCCTGGACAACAAACAGGTCAGCCTGGAAGTAAGGACCAAACCAAAGGCGCGCCCCTTGGCATCCAGCGACCGGGTTACGGCGGTGGTGGCCAAGGCGGCAGCCAGAACAGAACCGTCCTCACTATGGAGGATCTCGGCATGGCTGTTGGAGAGTACGGTGTTAACGTCAAGCGGAGCGAGTTCTATCGCTAGGTTTTTTAAATTGCGTGGATACTTGTTTGCAAGGCGTTACGGTATGGCGTTCACGGAAGGACTTGGGTCCATAAATGATATCAACATCACCACCAGTAGAATCAGAGCTGGTTGAAATAGATCGCCTTTTCAATGCGTATCGATCCCTTCGTTGAAATCATTTCTCTAGTGATGTTACATGTAGTTTTCTTTTTGTACATGGGTATATCCAGATTCCAGTTCTCATCCAATTCAAACAGACTACCTCTTGTCCCAAATGTTGGGCTTTCGTGTACTATAAAAAGGCCATCAGTATGTCTTGCTATTTCGTTTTGAAATGTCTAGCTTACGGTGCGAACTCGCCAAGCTTGTGTCCAACCATATCCTCAGTAATGGTCACCTCGTGGTAATCCTTTCCATTGTGCACCTCGAACTTGAGACCGACAAAGTTGGGTAGAATCGTAGCTGATCGGGCTTGTGTTCGTACAGGAGGCACCTTATCGCTTGTGGACTTGGGCCAGACAATAGGGAGGCTATCGCATGTTAGAAACGGTGGGCAGTCAGTCGAGATCGGTCGAAAGGCTTACGGCACCAAGTGTGGCCCTGTCGACGAATGTTAGCAATTTGCAAACCCTGAGACGCAAATTCAACATACCCTTCCACACGGAACGCTTTAGAAGAACCCGTGTCGCGTGCATTATCACTGGCACATGTCGTTCTCGAAATTTCAGGTCGGCATCACCAAGCTTCACCATGCGACGGCTCAAACTGGGGTGTTTTTCCGGATGATTAGTCCGAACAGGTGCACGTGACTCTTGGAAGTATAGGCTTCGGTTTTTAGTACAGAAAAAAAGCAAACAGATACATGGTCTATAGCGTGATGTACTGATCAGATTATTTTACCTTCCATCCTGCCGGTAGTCGTTTTATCCCAGTCTTCAGAGCGCTCCTGAATAGACGGCTCTCGGCACCTTGTGGTTCGTCAACCTGAATCTTGAAGTTTGTATAAACGGAAAAGGATTCCCACCAACGAGATGAAAATGCTTG